AGGTTATATTATCATGTATAATGAGAAACAATCAAGAGTCTTTGTAAATTACTGGTCTCTTTTTAGATTTTCCACTGAACTACATATATGTATGTTAAAAAAGAATATTGTTGTGGATGTACAAGAAATTTTGTAGTCCCACCCATACATTCTCCGGAGGGACAACTAAACAAATAAAAAGGTTACAGAATGAAAAAGTATACGAATCTCAACAATTTACTTTGCTATATACTGTCCCTGGTTGCACAGTGTGTTTGGTATCTGCTATATCCATTTTCACACCTAACCTCCTCCATCACAGATTTGTCCCTGTTACACACTTAATGTATGCCATAGTGTATAAATAAACCTTAAAACCTTCAGTGATTACATAACAGTGACTGCCCTACAGTACTGTGGGGTGGGGTTGACCTACCCCACCACATTTGTAGTGGGCACTTCACCACATACAGATATTTCTTTATTGAAAACAATCATATACCACAAATTTGAAGAAAAAAAGTATATAACCTACAGACCATGCATGGGAATTGTGACATTGTAAAAACAAATATATATACAGGGGTATTTTCATGTGAAAGGTTTTGTATAGAACATAGACAATTCATTTGACAAATACTACACATTAGCCAAGAACCATCATATACAGTGTATAGTATATATATGCATACAGTGTACATGCCAGCATATACATGTTGCTTTGTATAGGAATATTATATTCAAATTCAATTATGTATCTTTATTGCATAATGTTATTTCCATTTTTCCTACTTAATAACTTCATTCATTTTTAACGATGTGCTTTTGTTCTGTATTTGTTTGCCTCTCAACAGAAATGAAAAACCCTTTCTGTAGAAGTCATATCTCAATTGGTAAGATATCAAATATACAGATGATTACAGAACTATGAAGAGTGTTCTATATTAATCTGTATAGATACTTATACTTAAGAGTTATTAATTAATATTTTACCACTGGAAAGTTTTTAAATCTGAACACAAATTGATTTGGAGAATTCCATAAATATCTTGAAACTTTCTCTCCTCTTCCTCTATATAAAACAAAATACAATGCCAACAGCTGAGAATGAATATTCATCATAGCTTCTTTCTTTAACAGAAAGCTATTAACATGTTAAAACATTTTAGGTGTGTATAGCAAATTTAAATAAGCAATCCTTTAAAAAGGAAATGAAACTGATTTGAGGAAAATCTTAGGAGGTTTCAACAGAATTACTTTGGTGAGCAATATTGACAAATGAATTTTGTTTGAAAAAATTAAGTCTGGTGGTCAAACTAAATATTTGTTTAAAGTTTTTATCCATACTTTATGTAAACAGGGAGATTTTCTCTCGTTTGGTTCAGACCCTGGAAGTCATATTTTTTTTAAATATTAAAAAAATGATCAATACATTTCAAAATTTGATAAATTAATGAATTATTTGGTGAAATATTGATTAATTTCTCATGTTAATATTTAAAAGTATGGACTTTCTCCACTTTGGTTTAAAATTGAGCATTTTAAAACAGTGAATTTGCTAAATCATTTCTAACAGGTCAAATCTTCCCTGGGTTTTATATACACACCTTTTATATAATTTTTTTTCTTTTCTTTCTAATTTTAAATAAGTCTGGGCTCCCGTTCACAGAGAGCAAACAATGATCGTGTAAAGGATGTGATCAGTGACTAAAACCACATTTTACATATAGTCTGTAGGCCTACAACGTCACACTATGTAAACTGACCTATTTATAGAACAAGTGTGTATTAGTCAACTTATATTTAGTAAAGATTTATGTTCTAGACAAAAGTTATTGGTATTTTTCATCTCTGCTACCCGGACATGAATCGGATATTAATGAGTTAGCTAGGCCACAATAACGTAAAAGCAATTCACTTACGCATTCAATGTGTTGGATTACATGTTAGGTACGCAATATGTAATCTTGTCGTCTGGCTGTTCCGCTTGAAATTGCCGATTAAATCGTCTTCTCATCGGGATATATCAAGATGGACAACACTATTTATTGAGAAAGAAATGTAACCTATCTGCCTTTCCAGGATCTGACGTTTGTTTTAATAATTATATGGTAGTCGACAAGATCACAGCTAAAGAAACCGTGCTAAATAAGACTTTTGGTCACCCTTTCTTGATTAAAGGCTGGGGTGGCTGTCCACAGCTAGTAGAAGAGAACTCAAGGTCTGCGTGTCCTAATATATATAAGTACAAGTAAAATTTGGCTACATGAAGCATACATACATTTGAGGACATGGATGCTATGTGTTTGGCTCACAGAAGACTTTTGACAGATGTTGCCCCAGCAAAGATTATACAAACAGATAATATGGGAAAAGAAATGTTCTGTTTTCAATGGAAAACTGCGCAAATACTTATAGCACAAACGATTATAAAATAATAGCAAACGATTCAGAACACCTAGATTCTACTTGGAATCTTAACGACAGCAAGGTCACTTAGTGACTAAACTTAGAAATAACCCAGGGTCAGTCACTTAGTGACTAAACTTAGAAATAACCCAGGGTCAGTCACTTAGTAACTAAACTTAGAAATAACCCAGGGTCTTGGAATCTTATAAACAGTAAAGTCACTTAGTAACTCAACTTTAAAAATAACCCAGGGTCAGTCACTTAGTGACTAAACTTAGAAATAACCCAGGGTCTTAGAATCTTATAAACAGTNACACCATTATTTAAAAGGAAAATTATGATGTTGTAGGTGACCAATGGAATATGTGTGACAAGTTTCATGCAAATATGGCAATGGGCGAACATTTACAAAAAGTATCTATACATATAATACACACATACATAACAAAACCGACTAGAAAGATTGACGGAATTAATATTAGTCATTGAAGAAAAGAGGCCCCGCGGTGGCCGAGTGGTAAGACTTTTGGTAAAATTGCCAGCCCCATATTGGGATGGAATTTTTCCAGAAAGTCGATATAAACCCCTAAGACATGTTAAATGACTCTGAACACCTTATAGTTTAGGTCCAAATATAGCTGTAACAAATTCTCAGGTCCCTGTGGTTTCATGGAGTGGCATTGTATGTAGATGTACATTATGGGAAGGCGTTGGGTCGCGGTTAATATATCCTCAATTTTACCATGAATTCATGATCAAATACTAAAATAAATCCATCTCAGGTTTCTGTAGCATATCTCTGTCACTGTTTCATGAATAGTATAGATATGCGGGGAGGGGTTTTTCCATGAAGCCCACGCTTCGAGTTCAATCTAGTGAAGATACCCTTACATCTAGTTAATCTTTGGAAGTGAATTCATTTCGAGTTGGGTGTAAACGTTTCAGCTCATCCTCCACTCTAAGATTTAGTGCACTTGATGGTATTTATTTTAACAAGTATTATACAACCATCCTAATGTTGGGTGAACATATTTAATAGTATGACTTCTATGAAGGTTAAATAATTATATATATAACCTGAACTGTGATCATCCTTCGTGGTCATAATACATTTTTGATGCAATACAGTGGCGGATCCAGATTTTGTTTTTGAGTTTCAAGAAACCCCCCACCCTGAGAATTTTCTTTAAAAATCATGTCTTTTCACCATTTTCCTCAATTTCCCCCCACATGGAACCCCCCGCCCCAGATAGGTATCTGGATCTTCTTTGCTTTTAATGTGACCAGGTGTCTCAGCGACACTGTGAAGATATAAAGATATAATATAAGGGACAGTACTTCTGCTTATTTAATATATTGTGTTAATCCGCAAACTTGTCGAAAGGATGTATCACAACCAGGATACATAGCCTTTCTACAATTCGATACTAACCAACCTGAAGAAAATGTTAAGGGGAAAAAAGCTGCCAATCTGTTTAATATATAGCTTTTGTCTGTTGGACCAGGACAGCAGCTATACTACATTTCTCTTGTTCTCGTTTATTCCATCCTCCAACCTCCTTAATCCCTCTCGCCCACTCCCTAACCTCGCTTTCACACCCTTCCCTTAGCGTCATTAATTTCTACCCCATTAATAATTCTATTCCTGTACTACTACCTCTCTCCCGCACCTGTCGCGATTGTTCAACACACTTTATGAAAAGAAGAATTCGTAGCATTATAAACATCAAAATAGAACGGGGTGACTTAATTAGAAATACCTGGAAAACATTAAATTTACATAAAAAAATACATTCCTACGCATATCAACACAGAAGAAAATTTCATTACTCGCACTGGAAGTCGGATGCAAAGGCCTACGTCACAACTTCGAGTTAGGAAACAATTTGGTTCTGGTGTTAACTACACGAATTACATCGTCGGTCACGAAAACTCGACCTGACTAGTAAAACTGTTGTGATATGAGTGGGACACATTTTGTATGCCCAAAATACATCGTTCAGGCAGAAACGTAATATATACGTCTCCGGTTCAGTTGAGGTTAGCTTTTAATTCGCCCATATGCACATGTCTTTTTTTTGTAAGTCAGGTTTTGTTCACTATGATCATGGACTTATCTAATTCCGTGCTATGATGGACAAGTCTAATAGCGTATATCGAATCTACCAGGACAGTGCCTCCTGACCACATGTAACGTTACAGTCCCCGTGCAAAATGAAATGACTCGTCGATATATTTGTTGGCACTGACACATTGTGATAGAAAAACAATAAAACATAACACAGTTTAACATATAGGAATAATGGTTATTAGTTGTCTCTGAATTACTGAATGCTTAAAATCAGTGTTTAACTTTTATAAAAGTTTTGCTACGTCATTTTAAAACTCATCAGTTACCCCCGCGCGGGCCTCTCAGGTGAACCAGGAAGTTTGGATTACTTTTTCAGCAGACGTCAACAACTGACACATGGGTACATGCTCACACGCTGGTACAGGACACAGGCTGAGTGCGACGGAGGATGATCTCTTAAGAGCAGCATCATGTTATCACTTATGACGAAGGTCTTCCTATAGCCAGGTACCCATTATGTGACTACATGTGCTAATATTATAGTAAATACTAGTAACCATCCTACATGTAATATCACAGGCCTGACAACTATGGAACTATACACATGATACACTCACACTGGATATATTCTATACGTGGACTTTAAACTATCACATTGCTTTAGTTTTGTTTAAATTTTAAGCAACGAAACAGATATTGCCAGAGCAATTGTATGGTGAAATCTCAGGGAAATCTCCAACTGCAGAGCAGGGTAACTTTGCTTTTTTGTGTCTTTAGATCTGCGGATGCTATCTATAACACTGTTTGTTTTAGAACAATATTCTTGTCCTCTGATTTATATTGTCTCTGAATTTTTAGAGAAATGTTCACCATCAGTACCTGTTGGGAAAATGTTTATTATGCTGTGTTAAGTTGTAATGTTGTATTCTATAGACAGCATTTAAAATCTGCAAAACCCCCTTACCTGATTACCACAATCTAATTATACCCCCGCAACGAAGTTAGGGGGGTATACATTACTGGAATCACCCTGTCTGGATGTCTGTCGTCTGCAGTAACTTGTCCGGAAAACTCCTCCTTTATTAACAGGTGTATTTCATTGAAACTTTGCATGAATGATCAGTACTTTATGTATTTGTGCACCGGCATTTTAATTTGGGATTTCAACCCTTTTTGATGGAGTTATGCCCGTTTTGTGCGAAAGGCTTGTTTATTTTTCTGTTATTTTTGTTTTTTGTTTTTATATTAAATAGTGATTAACTCATTACTGGTGGGAGACTATATTGCTTTGCATTAGTAAGGCTTAAGCTTACAGGTCTGGTTTATATAGGAGCGGGGTATTAGTTAGCCTTTGGCTTACAGTTCTAGTTTGTACAGCACTTGATATGCTACGACACCCTGGTGATTGTGGGTACGTGTGTTCAGGTTCTTTAGTCACCAAAGTTATTATTCAATCCGTGCAAACTCGACTCAGAACTGCACTGTACTTTTCTGGAGCTTGGCTTTCAGCTCGCATGTTCAGAAGTCCAAGTGAACTTAGTGAGCAATGGCTCAGCATTTGTCTTTTTGTGCCCTCTTCTTTGGAGCATAACTGACCAAAAATGAATCTGCTACATCCATTGCATCCTATCTTAGTATCTCCTTTTGGCCTCAAGGTGTTGAGTGCTGACCCCGGTGTTGAAGGTTATGGGTTCTGTCCCCTGACCAAGACAAACCTGAGTTCTTAAATTGTCTCTGCTTGACAATCGTCTTTAACCATTTCACCCCTATTCATCTTTAGTAGACTCTACCATGCATTAATCTGGATGAGTCCATTATGGTCTACAGTTGTGAAAGGGTTAACTGGTAACTCTACCTACATACCAACGCTCCTGCATCGATTACATATTATGTGTCAACGACATTCTGTTTTTAGCTAACATGTAGGTTAGCGCATAATGTCTGCTCATTATCTTGATAAATTGATGAAAAGTAAAAAGATTAACTTCAAACTTTATAAAAAAGTAATTAGAAGGCTCAGAAAAGTTTTATAACTGCTATGTGACCATAATTTCACAGCTATGGCCCATTATGGATTCATAATGACAATTGTACTCAAAAAGATATCTTAAGTAATATAATTATACATATAATTCTTAACAATCTAACTTTGTAAAAAGTTTAATTACCATAAAAGCTTGGACACAAGGTCAGTATAGCCATTATCTGCATGACCATAAGATTTCTTTTTAGTTATGGACTAGATATATCAACTTACTCATGTCAGCATACACCTCCAAGGAGCAATGTGAGTTAGTGATGTGTTCCAGGCGTTTTGTCCAAGAAGGGTTCAATGCCCCCCCACCCCTTACAGAAATATTGAGTCTCTGGCACACTATTGCTGCGATAGCGCCACAATATTGCGGCAATATCGCGGCAATATCGCTGCGTGTTCAGATTTCGTATGCCAATTAGGTTTCCGGCGATATAGCCAGAATGTTCCGGTGCAGTTGCGGGGATATATCGCCACAGGCTAGGGTTCTGGTTGTCTTGGCAAGCAAGATAGGGATTCCCATAATCAAATATATGATAACATTGCAACAGGGTTGTGGAGTACATATAGTTTAGATAATAAATCATAGCTTATATTGATCAAAGATTGGTTACAAAAAGTTCATAACATATATATGGATTATTTCACAATGTGATATTCGTTAATAGTAGTTATCAATAATGTTAATATAATGTATAAGTATATGAACAGTTATATAAGAAACCGTTCTGTATAGAAGCAACATGAACTGCTGTAAAAATGATACAGCAGTTCCTAAAGCAAGATTTTGATATGATGTACTACACTGCTAAATACATGTAGTAGAATTGTGTAGGACACAATTTAAACTTATAATTATACTGTTGTATAAAAATGCACAATAGTTATTCAGTTAAGATTTTACATGTTTTGTGACCATGGATTATATAAAACCACGGAATTAGATTATTGTTATCTAAGTCCGTGATAAAACATAGAAGAAAACATATTCTACATTACCTTATAAGACTCAAGAATGCTGTCACTTTATCCAAAAAAGATTAAAGCCTCCTTATTTCACACAACTTTTCTCTTCACCATGAGCTCTCCTTCATTCATCAGCCATTTTGTGATTTTTGAATTTAGGGGTCAACTTTATTTAGACAAGTTACATAGGATCATGGGAATTCCTTATCTGTGGTGCACTTCTGGCGATATTCTGGTGATATGAAAAGTGGGCCAGAATATATATATATATCACCAGAATATTTTATCTGTGGTGTACTTCTGGTGATATTCTGGTGATATTCTGGTGACATTCTGGCGATATTCTGGTGATATTCTGGTGACATTCTGGTGATATTCTGGTGACATTCTGGTAATATGAAAAGTGTGCCAGAATATCTCCAGAATATTTTATCTGTGTTGCACATCTGGCGACATTCTGGTGACATTCTGGTAATATTCTGGTGACATTCTGGCGATATTCTGGTGACATTCTGGTGATATTCTGGTGACATTCTGGTGATATTCTGGTGACATTCTGGTGACATTCTGGTGACATGAAAAGTGGGCCAGAATATCACCAGAATATTTTATCTGTGGTGTACTTCTGGTGATATTCTGGTGACATTCTGGTGACATGAAAAGTGGGCCAGAATATCACCAGAATATTTTATCTGTGGTGTACTTCTGGTGACATTCTGGTGATATTCTGGTGACATTCTGGTGACATTCTGGTGACATGAAAAGTGGGCCAGAACATCTCCAGAATATTTTATCTGTGTTGCACTTCTGGCGATATTCTGGTGATATTCTGGTGACATTCTGGTGACATTCTGGTGATATTCTGGTGACATTCTGATGACATTCTGGTGACATTCTGGTGACATTCTGGCGATATGAAATGTGTGCCAGAACATCACCAGAACGTCACCACTAGTGGCGATATTCTGTGCACTTCTGGCAACATGTTCTGGCGAACTGAATTGTGCGCCGCGATATCGCTGCAAACTTTTTATTTCTGTAAGGGCCTCGATCTTGTTCAATATAGGCACTCAAGTTTTGATAATGTATTATAAATTATCACAAGGACTACTTATATATTGAATGGAAGTAAACCATAAGAAAAGTTTAGACTTCTGACAGACCACCAAATTTTAAAATGCCAAGTATGAAAACTTATTTTTAGATGCAATTAAATTGCAATTTAATTGTCAAATATGACACTTTATGGTCCAATAAAGTCTATTAGTTAGGCTCCAATAATTTACCAAAAAATTATTTGAATCTGACAGATGACAATTTTCTACAAAAAATATTTTTAAAGAATAAAGGAATAATTTTATTATTAATTTGATTAAAACAGTATCTTAATATACTTTGTAGAGTAGTAAATTTGGGTCTGTTATTCCGTCTTTGCGTATTGCAGAGTTATCTTCTCTTTGGAGCAGGTATTGATTGTTACGTCATTTGTTTTTGAGAGTAACGTCATCAATTTTTGAGAAAACGACGTAATTTTCTCACACAAACCAATGACGTAACAATCAATACCTGCTCTCAAGATAAGATAACTCTGCAATACGCAAAGACGGAATTGATCAAATTGTTTCGATAATTTTTCATAAGAATACATATTTTACTCATTTGCGAAAATAAGCCAGGGTAAATTAAGATTGGAGATAAAGGTTAGCAAGTATCAATGGCTATTATAGTTGATTATGTTTCTTTGATTGGAGATCACCATTGTATTGGACGAGATTTACTCGTCAATCACAAAGGATAAACAGAGTAATCAATTGATCACAATGATAAGATAAATATTACGTATATATTCTCTAATTGTACGTCACCAGAGATTATTCAGCTGTTAAGATTTAATAATTTCTTCAGTGTTCCTTCAATGGCAGAACAAATCAAACAGAATACTTTTTGTTGGCAAATTAAAACACTTAATTCTACTGTCAGTCATCACATTTTTATAGACCAGAGTACTAAAATATTCACAGGTAACTTCAAGTCTTAATCAATAATCTATAAATAATACAAACAGCTACACATTACATCTCCAGCACACACGCAGGCATACACACATACAGAGATATTAGCCAGGTGGCATAGGACTAGTAGTTAGCACCTGATAAGGCAGCTCCTGCGAATTCCTCAAAATTGTATTATTAATGTATATGCTAATTGTTTTGATTGTATAGATTGTGTACTGTAAAGCGCTTTAGGGTGGCTTAGTTTAGCTAGATAGGGTGCTATATCAAATGTGGTATATTATTACTATTATCAATGCCATTTAGTAGAATTTCTGATTTTCTTGCCTAACAGCTAAACATTTACACCATTGGTGCACATGATCTGCAGTTAGTTCATGCAAAAATATATGAAAGAAGGGATTTGGAATCAATTTGGCATAGAGCTTCCCTGGACACCTGGGGCTCAATGTCACATTTATAAACCATGTTAATTTCCTTGAGAGCAGATGGGTGTGGCTCCAGGTTTAAAACACAAATGTTAACAAAAAAACTAAAGCAAATGTCAGATCATCTCAGGACTAGTTATTATTTTGATTCCCTCTGCAATGAATTGCTGTAGAAGTTAGTTTTGAGCCAAATCTGTTTAATTCTTATTTAATTAAAAATGTTCAATGTCAATCCCTGCAACATATTGGATGGTTTCCTTTTCTGTCAGTCTGACAATGCAGCTGTCTGTACGATATCTTGGTTAGACTTTACATGTAGGTCAGTGTAACCTATATTTTCTGCTTCAATGACTTACAATTGACTTTGTGTTATGCACCATTACTCAAAAACTACAACTTATTGTAAAGAGTAGCAACATTTCATTTGTAGGTCACTGTGACCTTTATTTCAACTTGACTGACTCTGGTTAAATTTGGTATGTACCTATGTATCGGTTATTCCATAATCAAGTTAATCTGTACAAGACTTTCTAGAAGTCGAACATTCATCCAACTTTTTACATAGAGATACATGATTTTTCGGTTTACTATAGCAGTGTATCAAATGTAAATTACAGGTAACTTGGACTTATATTTCCACTTCTCTGACTTCACATTTAGCTCCATTAAATTTCCATCTAAGCAGGAGTAGGGGCATGTATACATTTAATAGTTTGGGCTAATGTAAAATCCAAGATGTTTGCCTTGGCCTCAGGTCGGTGGAGATATTTTCTACTTATGCTGTTTCCATCAGGCCAATTCTACTAAAGTTTTTCTCATGGCCCTAGACGCTGTTATTTTTCAACTAATTCATAATTAAATCTGTTCTTTGGTTGCTGCTCAATAGTGCTGAATATGTCCTCTGGTTACTGCAGCTAAAGATAATCTGTTCAATAGTGCTGATTATGTCCTCTGGTTACTGCAGCTAAAGCTAATCTGTTCAATAGTGCTGAATATGTCCTCTGGTTACTGCAGCTAAAGCTAATCTGTTCAAGAGTGCTGAATATGCCCTCTGGTTACTGCAGCTAAAGTTAATCTGTTCAATAGTGCTGAATATGTCCTGTTCTTTATTGGGTTGATTGGAAATTCAAAATGACTTAATATCCCAGCAATTTGAATAAAAATGTCACATGGAAGTTTTTTTATTTTTATTTTTCGGGTACTTATGAAACCTGATACGGCCACCATTGTCTGAGAATGGAAACAGGTGAGCGATACCAGTCTAATGTGGCTGTTAGCATAAGTTAGTCATATACCAGGACGAAGAGAAACTACTATAGGGGTAAGGTTTCAGTCCTCGTCAGTTGAGGATACTTCCTGCTGTCTATTTAAAAATAAAGAATTTCAACAATTGCAGGAAATATAAAAATGAATATGAATACCTGAAACATGATCTGTTTTTATTGCACACATCTGGAGAAATCCTTTATGATCACACCTACCCACCCATCCCCCTCCTTCATCAAGTTGTATGATGGGTGTTATTATCCTAATAAATGTAGAGCATAATTACTAGTTTCCTGTCTGTTGATGGGCCTTTAAGTTGCTGTTTTTTAAATCAAATCAAATAGTGGTCATACTAGCTACAACTTCACTGAAAAAGTACTGCATTGATAAGTCATTTCAAGGAAAGTAGTTTTACAGACATTTATTTCCACAGTTTTAGGTAGACTTCAATGTTTAGTATATTAGTGAGGAAGAGTTTATTTAGGTAACTACATATGCAACATAATGAAATGAACATCTCTGTGGAATGTGTACTTAACAAGGTGTGTAATCATTGGCTCTAGGTCTAGCCAATGAAAAATGGTTTCAGTTTATTCATATTTATACACTTTCTATTTATACACTTTATTTTATGTTAAGTTTTTATGTAAAATATTAATGTTGGTTGCATTTGTAGTTTTACTATTGATGATGTAATGCCAATGCATATACCATTTATTACCCAGAATTATTTGATCACCAAAAAACGGAAAAGTGACTGGCTCTCTGAATCTTGGGAACTGGTATTGATGTGTATGGACCAGGTAAAGTATATTTTTTTGAATTAAATTAAATATACTGGAAAATTATGAGTAACTGTGTCATATATCTATTGTTTGGTATTGAGATGTACCCTATAAACTGTGGTTTACTTCTATTATTAGGAATTCTACCACATCTTTAGTGTAACAACAGTTTTCATGGGTTCATAAACTGAATAACCATGGATGATAAACCATGCTTGCTGACCATGAACCAAAAATAAAACCCATCCAGTTGGTTAAAATGTACCGGAATTATTTGAATGTATTACCAAGGTAATATAATGATTGAAATATATTTTTTAAACATTGTGATCATTTGGTTTGCAAGTATGTCTTGGCTGACTGAGTGCTGAATACAAAAAGTATGTCACTGTGACCTATATCCCGAGATACAGCTAGGTGAATTGAGAAATCGTTATCAGGGGGACTATGGATTGCCTTGTAATACTTTGTTTGTTCATTCAAAAAATTTCTTGAAAAAACTATTCCTACAGCTCTTTGTGCAGGTGGAGTGGAGGGGGGTTATAAGTCTGCCATTTTGGCGATAGTTCTAGATGTTTTCCAGAGTGAGACATACATTTGAGGGAATATTTTGATCTGACATCATGTCTGTGTGATTGTCTGTGGGTCTGCCTCTCGACCTATACTGTTGACAGTATACAGTATTTAGTATATCAACTGGTGTTAGGCTTCAATCAATGGCATTGGTTTCATAAATGTATTTATTGTATACTTAGGACTCACATAACTAAATCAACTAAGTCAGCCTATCAGCAAGTGTTTCATACGATTGTAATCCCTATCTAAAATTTGTTCCGGGTTAATACAGTGTCTCGGAGTAATTTAAATAGGTAAATGTTGACATATTTTACATTGAATGAAATCTACAGATATTGAACTTTAGAAAAATGTAGAGTTTTAGTAGATTTTAAAATGTGATGGCGGATTGATATGGGGTCAAAGGTCAGGGGGTGTTCCTGTCCCATTTCACCAGTTTGGCATGTAAACTTCCGGTTATCAAAAGCAGACGCCTGTATGCCACCAAACTCACCAAAAAATGCCCTTCGATCCTTTGTCAAGTATGTATCTGTGAATCTAGACAGTTTTCACTAGTGTTGAACTTCAAATATTAACGCTTTTAGCTTAAAAGCTTAGTATAACATATAGTAAATGATTTAGTTGTGTGAGCCCTTTAAAAAGATTTGTTTTGCTAGCTGTCCATAACCCATATCCTGTTCAAACCTATATCTACCATGCATGCACCATATATACCCAGCATGTCTATATCTACCCAGCATGCACCATATCCACCCAGCACATGCCATATCAGTTTTACTTCCGGTTCAACACATCAAAAATCAGACATTACACACAATTCCTTTTGTTACTAAAAATTTTGATGTGGTATGTTAATTAATACACGTATTCAGAATAGGTTTTTATATATGATAAAAATGTGATAATATGCAAGCTTTTCAATATCCTATCCAGTATCAACCCTCAACTAATATCAGCCCTCAAGCCGCCAGCCCCTCGGTTTAATAGGAAGGTCTCAGGTTGATACATGGGGTAGGATATGGAAATGATCATATAACCTCAAAGGGTTAGACTTCTATAAATATATACTTTAAGTCAATCTTTTCTTTCTTTATAAGTGAGCAGAACAAGATGGAAGACTTAGATATTTGTGAAGATTTGTACGATCGGAAGATTGAGCCAAACAGATGTCAACTTATCAAGTACATAGAAACAGGAGATATTTTGGATGAACTGAGACAAAATCGAACCATCGGCATTGATGATTATGAGGAAGTACAAGCCTGCGCCAGCCGTAGACGGAGGACAGGTACGTTGTTTCTATACGTGGTGGTTGATCTCACCTGATCGGACCACATGGATTTTCTCCGGGTACTCCGGTTTCCTCCCACACTAAGACACACACACACCCTGCGTGCTAACATCTGGGCCTAGACTGGCCACCGTCTCTAGTATATTGAATAATTAAGAAAACAATTTTAACTCTAAAACTTTTGATCACTTGGATGTCTAAAGTTCTAAACTAGGGGGAGATAAGCTAGGAGTAGAATGCAGCTGTGGAAATTCTTCATAAAAGAGTAGGGGCTGGTAGCCAGTCTAATCTGGGCCCAACAAGAATTATTTATATAAGTTGACATAACTTGTTCATTGTGTGTTTGTTTACTTTTCATTTTGTCCTCTTTTAAAAAAAAAGTACAAGTCTAAATCTGATAAATTTGTCACACATTTTGTTACATGTATCAAGTAGTCCAAGGGAGTTCCTATTTGTTTAAATGATGGGATTTTGTTCTCTAATGGCTTCAAAAAGGGACTGAAGGCATCATTTTGTGAAATTCCATGGTCTGTTGTCTGTAACACTTAGTACAGGCAGCCATCTTGGATTGTGACAGTTCAAGTTTGTTATCACTTATTCTTAAAAAGGTCTTGACAGGTCTTTTTTAACTCCCTTTAGTCCTTAGATGTGCATGTTTTCTCTTGAGATTGATTTGAAAAACAGGTGGGATATAAAGGCCCATTGAGTCTTTTGTTATTATAACTGCACAACAAGGTTATAGGAGGCACATGCTGTTGTCTGTCTGCCTGTCCATCTGTCTATCAGTCTGTAGATCTTGTCTGAACAATGTTTCATCTAAATTTAATGGAACTCCACTGATATCAGCACTTCAACGGAAGTCGTGGGGTATAAAGTACATGTACTCACTTTGTCCATCTGTCAGTCCGTCTGTCCATATTGCTTGTCCAGATAATAACTTAATTGAGAAACAAATTATCTCATATATTTCAAACTTGGTTTGTGGGTTGCAAAAAGTGCAATTGATTTTGTCTACGGTATATAAGAGGTCACTGTTGCCAAAAAAGATGTTTGCTTGATTGCACTTGCGCGGATGATTAGTTAAAAATTATTGATCATACATATTTCAAATTTGGTGTGTAGACTGCCAAAGCGGATGTGAAGAGCCCTATTGTTGATTTTTGACATCATGGTCTATTTTGACATGGTCTATCAGACATCACATCATGGTGTATCAGACATCATGACCTATCGGACATCATGGTCTATCAGACATCATAGTCTATCAGACATCAAGGTCTATTTTGACATGGTCTATCAGACATCAAGGTCTATTTTGACATGGTCTATCAGACATCATGGTCTATCAGACAACATGGTCTATCAGACATCAAGGTCTATCAGACATCATGGTCTATCAGACATCATTGTCTATCAGACATCAAGGTCTATTTTGACATCAAGGTCTATCAGACATCAAGGTCTATTTTGACATGGTCTATCAGACATCAAGGTTTATTTTGCTTAAAATAGAATTTGTATTGTTTCGTGATAACAAAATTAGAACTTGGTAAGTAGTTTGCCCAAGTCATAAACAAAAATCGAGGATGGCCAGGTTCGATCACAAATCCTGCATTCCTGCATGACTTTTTCTGAGGGATATATATGCTGCCGCTGGCAGCTCTCTCATTGCATGTGTGGATTTTATTTTTTTGTTATCCTATGTCTTAAATTTCTTGTTTGCAGTACCAAATGTCAAACAGCATCATTTTCTTTTTAAATTTTCAGCAAAGCTTTTGGACATCTTGCAAACTAAAGGAGACAAAGGTGTGGAGGAATTTTTAAAGACGATTGAGCTGATTTATCCAGACCTGTATCAGGCAGTGACGGGAGAATCACCACGGAAACCCCCTCCTAGTGAGTAGCAGAAACAACCTGGAAAAGAAGTGCTAAAGCTTCTATATCAGGAGTATCATAATGTAAGAATTTACAATAAGGATTACAAGTTGTTACCAAGATATTAAGCTGATTGTGGTTGGAGTATACATAGGTTTTTATCACATAATGTACAGCGTTATCCAGTGAATATACCTGTCAGATTTTTTTGCGTATTAACCCATGTAATATGACCTATCAACCCTGTGATTGGTTGTAAGTATCAATTGTTTCAATTATGACGTCATGCCTAGGACAATTTCGAAATGGCAGCTTTTTACATTTCAAAGTTGCATTTTACACGAATAAATGCCACAAATCTTGATTATGTGATAAAAAGGATCTTACACCCGTTTTCATTTCTTATGAAATTTATATAACTTGTCACAAATTTTTCATTTTATCTCTTCAGAGGTTTTGCTAAAGTGAAAAATTCTAAAAAATGCTATATTTCCCCTATTGGGCCCCGCCCCTCAGGCCCCTCAGGGGCCAGACCTACGGTTTATACAAAATTGGTTCCCCTTCACCCAATGATGCTTCAGACCAAATATGGAACAAATCCTTTCATTCCTACAGAAGAAGAAGGATTTTAAAGAATTTACTATGTGTTCTCTATTGGGCCCCGCCCCTCAGGACGTTGTGTGTTTATATTTACTGTCCAAACATCTGAAGGATCCTGTAAATTTTCCCTATATGTTTATTTTCTGTCAAAGCATCTGAAGGATCCTGTAAATTTTCCCTATATGTTTATTTTCTGTCAAAGCATCTGAAGGATCATGTAAATTTTCCCTATATGTTTATTTTCTGTCCAAGCATCTGAAGGATCCTGTAAGTTTACCCCCTATGTTGTTTGTCTTATAAGTTGACTACGTTACACTCTGCCTTGGCAGATTTCTTACGTTGTAGTCGGATGCCGTCCATGCGTACCATTAACCACCTGCCACAACTTGCCCAGGAACTGAAGACACAGTACCAAAATAACAAACAACTAGTTCAGCAACTACAGGAGTTAGAGAATGCCATGGTGTTTGAACAGAATGATAACAAAGAATTGGAGGTATTATTTGAAGAATTCACAAGCTTCAATGACATTATTTATTGTACAATCTTTATTTTATGATGTTTTTGAAATAACAATAAACACACATTTTTCGATTAAATGGCCGCAGCCTATTTAATGATATTTATTCTCAACAAATGTGACGAGCAGGCCTTTCTACTGACAGGTAATTTCCTCCCCCCTGGGTTATCCAAAGCGGGTTGTAATTTTACCCTAACTAAACTCACCAATGACTAGAGTTATACACTTTAGGTACATGCAACGGTAAGTACCCCACACTGAGTATCTACCACACTGGTACTGGACACATCAGCTACTCACCCTCCCCAGGGTAAACCTTGGCATAGTTTGCACGTACCTGACTATAAATAGCCTTGTCAATCTACCCAGATCAACGAGGCGCCGCCATACTTTCAGGGTATAACCTTGGCAAGTATTACGTAACATTCTCCACCACGGAGAAACCAAATACTGTACATGTTTATAACTATATCCTAATTACTATTATAGTACTTCCACCATCTCGACTCCCTGGGATTCACAAGGCAAGTGTGATGGGGAGTTTACTGTTAAACTCGTTTATAATATAATGTGGGTTTACCCGACTTCTAGGATTAACATCTAATGGTCCACTTTTAGTACTACTTTGGAAGCTGTCTGATAGTGATACACAGGGGATTAACATCTAATGGTCCACTTTTAGTACTATTTTGGATTAAAGGTTACTGCCATGGCATCTGATTGGCTGAGAAAATGTGTTATAAATTGAGTTATAGGGGACAACTTTGTCCATACTTTGTGGGAGTGATACATATGGTATATAATTTATATCATATTGCCATAGATTGGTTATGGCCTTAGATTGGTTAAGACGATAACAGTTATTAATTGAGTTCTCTAAGGCTGTCAATGGTGTTAATACTTTTTGGAAGTGATATATGAGATATACTTTCAATATATGTAGAAGTTGACGTAATTTTCATCATTCAAGATAGCTGCCGTCGCCTGTGATTGGCTATATTTATAGAAAATATTTGTCATCACTATAGGGATTTTATTTCTGAGAACACTTTGATCAAATTCCATACAGAGGTTGTATTTCAGGGTGCTACAAGGAAATATTTACATGGTGCTTCAGAAATGTACAGATAAAACGAAATCCATTATCAGAAAATGAGCTAGCCAGAGTGGTATGTAATTAGATACTGTTGGCAAGATGCAAAGTATATACTTAGTAACAGAGTGATGTGCATAAAGGGGGATTTATATATTTTTCTATGTATTTTATGAGTGGTTTATTTTTCAGAAAGAAAATTCTGAACTCAGAAAACGGATTGACAGTTTGAAAAAAGGCAGTGATGCATTGGAATCTCAAGTGGCAAGCTTTATGACAGAAAACCACAAACTCAAGGATGAATCCCGTTTGTATATATTATATATCTACCATGACAGGCTTGTAAGACTTGCTAAGTCCACGAAAAACAAAAACGCTTCAGTATATTAAAAATAACCATTTACATTTGAATTTAATTGAATAGAAAACCTTCAAACTAGTTTAGAGTTCTTTGTTGTGGATCCAATATTTCAATAAAACAAGTATTGATACAAAAATACAGTGTACTTCAGCAGAGTTAGTCTTTTGGTGATGTGGGATCAATGTCAAGGTCACTGTTCTATCAAAAAGAACACTTTTGTGACTGCTTTACTAGCTTTGTTTTTCTACTGGTGCGGATGAAACTCAGAACACAAATACTTCAAAGAAGTTTGTGTATGGGTTTGACCCAGATTTTAAGTCAATTTTCATAAAGAACTGATCAACAGGTACATTCCCAAGTTTGCTTGTTTGTCTGTGTGGCTTTAACATCCACACAATAGCCAAGGTCATATAAGGAAAGTGCATGGGACCCAAGGGAGACAGCCCTGAAAGGGAAGAATCGACAAGGGAGGAAAGTATAGGTCAAGATCTAAGGCTTTGCAATGGGGGCATTTTGTTTTCTTCAAAGTCCTCTAAGAAGAAGATACAGAAGAAAACCCTAAGACATGTCTAGTTATAAAACCCCTAAGACATGAATAGTTATAAAACCCCTAAGACATGTCTAGTTTTAAAACCACCAAGACATGTCTAGTTATAAAACCCCTAAGACATGTCTAGTTATAAAATCCCTAAGACATGTCAAATTATAAAACCCCTAAGACATGTCTTGTTATAAAACCCCTCAGACTATCTAGTTGTAAAACCCCTAAGACATATCTAGTTATAAAACCCCTAAGACATATCTAGTTATAAAACCCCTAAGACATATCTAGCTATAAAACCCCTAAGATATAATTAGTTATAAAACCCCTAAGACATGTCTAGTTATAAAACCCCTAAGACATGTCTAGTTATAAAACCCCGAAGACATGTCTAGTTGTAAAACCCTTAAGACATATCTAGTTATACAACCCCTAAGACATGTCTAGTTATAAAACCCTTAATACTTGTTTAGTTATAGAACTCCTAAGACATGTCTAGTTATAAAACCCCTAAGACATGTTTAGTTATAAAATCCCTAAGACATGTTTAGTTATAAAAAACCCAAGACATGTCTAGCTATAAAACCCCTAAGACAAGTCTAGTCATAAAACCCCTAAGACATGTCTAGTTATAAAACCCCTAAGACATGTCTAGTCATAAAACCCCTAAGACATGTATTAAGTTATAAAACCCCTAAGACATGTCTTGTTATAAAACCCTAAGAATTGTCTAGTTATAAAATCCTAAGACATGTCTAGTTATAAAACCCTTAGACGTGTCTAGTTATAAAACCCAAAGATATGTCTAGTTATAAAGCCCCTAAGACATGTCTTTAGTTATAAAACCCTTAGACGTGTCTAGTTATAAAACCCCTAAGACAGGTCTAGTTATGAATATTACTCACAGACCTTATTTTTCACTCAACAGTTGCTTCATTTGTTGGTAAATAAAAGTAATGTTTCGAAAGTATGTTTTAAAATTATGAGCATGCAGTGAAGAAAAGAAAATAATCGAAAATATTCAATAAATTCTTATCCAATATAAAATTAATGCATCTTTGTCCAAATCATTGTACACTTAACTTTGTGCTGGATGTATTGACTTTGTGAAAAAGTATTTTGAGAAATTTGAAATGAGAAAAATTACCTTTCTAAGTGAGTTGTATGAGTTAGAGATTTAGCAATGTTTGTTGTATGGACTTTGTGCAGTAAACTACCTGAAGACGAGCCTGGAATACCACCAACAGTCTGAGCTGTATAAACAGAGGGCCCGGGAGATACAGACAGAGAAAGATGAGATGGAACGGACATTTCGTCGAATACGACAGGAACACCAAGAGGGTACATAGCCGTTCTTAACATTTGTGCTCATGTCTATATAGTTTCTGTTTTATTTTTAATATTCCTTGAAACTAACTGTTGTTTAAGTTAAATTCTTGTCTGTTGATTAAATCGGATAACTTGGTGAAAATATATATCTGTGCTAAATGATGAAACATGAACTTCATCTAACGATAAAGGTCATAAGTAGTAAACAAGTATGGTTTTAAGTCATTAAATGTCATATAAGAATGAATATTGAATTGATATCAGTATGTTCCAATAAACTTTACCAATAATATATCAAATTACTAACACCTTTTCTATTCCTTGTTAGGAGTGCGCCAGTCACGATTATCTTTTGGTGTCTCCATACGACCAACAGAACCAGACCCATCCGTCCCCTCCACAGTAAGTCTCAACTTATTGTTTAACCTGTATAACATAACCCACATCTCATCTCCAGGAAAAGTCTCTGCTGTAATACCAAACTGACACCTCACTTACCTGTATAATCCAACCCACATCTCATCTCAAGGAAAAGTCTCTGCTGTATTACCAAACAGACACCTCACTTACCTGTATAACCCAACCCACATCTCATCTCCAGGAAAGGTATCTCCTGTATTATCAAACCTACACCTTAGCTCCAAGATGAGTCTTACCTGTATAACCTAACCTACACCTTAGCTCCAAGATGAGTCTTACCTGTATAACCTAACCTACACCTTAGCTCCAGGATGAGTCTTACCTGTATAACCTTAACTACACTTTAGCTCCAGGAGGAGTCTTACCTGTATAACCTAACCTACACCATAGCTCCAAGATGAGTCTTACCTGTATAACCTTAACTACACCTTAGCTCCAAGATGAGTCTTACCTGTATAACCTAACCTACAACTTAGCTCTATGATGAGTCTTACCTGTATAATCTAACCTATATGTTAGCTCCAGGATGAATCTTACCTGTATAACCTAACCTACCCCTTAGCTCCAGGATGAGACTTACCTGTATAACCTAACCTACAACTTAGCTCCATGATGAGTCTTAACTGTATAACCAAACCTACACCTTAGCTCCAGGATGAGACTTACCTGTATAACCTAACCTACAACTTAGCTCCATGATGAGTCTTAACTGTATAACCAAACCTACACCTTAGCTCCAGGGTGAGTCTTAACTGTATAACCTAACCTACACCTTAGCTACAGGATGAGTCTTACCTGTATAACCTAACCTACAACTTAGCTCCATGATGAGTCTTAACTGTATAACCAAACCTAAATGTTAGCTCCAGGATGAGTCTTACCTCTATAACCTAACCTATATGTTAGCTCCAGGATGAGTCTTACCTGTATAACCAAACCTACTACTTAGCTTGAGGATAAGCCTTACCTGTACAATTTGTATAACCAAACCTACACCTTAGCTCCAGGATACGTCTTACCTGTATAACCAAACCTACAACTTAGCTCTATGATGAGTCTTACCTGTATAACCAAACCTACACCTTAGCTCCAGGATACGTCTTACCTGTATAACCAAACCTACACCTTAGCTCTATGATGAGTCTTACCTGTTTAACCAAACCTACACCTTAGCTCCTGGATGAGTCTTACCTGTATAACCAAACCTTCACCTTAGCACCAAGATGAGTCTTACCTGTATAACCAAACCTAAACCGTAGCTCCAGGATGAGTCTTACCTGTATAACCAAACCTACACCTTAGCTCTATGATGAGTCTTACCTGTTTAACCAAACCTACACCTTAGCTCCATGATGAGTCTTACCTGTATAACCAAACCTACACCTTAGCTCCAGGATGAGTCTTACCTGTATAACCAAACCTACACCTTAGCTCCAGGATGAGTCTTACCTGTATAACCTAACCTAAACCTTAGCTCCAGGATGAGTCTTACCTGTATAACCTAACCTATATGTTAGCTCCAGGATGAGTCTTACCTGTATAACCAAACCTATATGTTAGCTCCAGGATGAGTCTTACCTGTATAACCAAACCTACACCTTAGCTCCATGATGAGTCTTACCTGTATAACCAAACCTACACCTTAGCTCCAGGGTGAGTCTTACCTGTATAACCAAACCTACACCTTAGCTCCAGGATGAGTCTTACCTGTATAACCAAACCTACACCTTAGCTCCATGATGAGTCTTACCTGTATAACCAAACCTACACCTTAGCTCCATGATGAGTCTTACCTGTATAACCAAACCTACACCTTAGCTCCAGGGTGAGTCTTACCTGTATAACCAAACCTACACCTTAGCTCCATGATGAGTCTTACCTGTATAACCAAACCTACACCTTAGCTCCATGATGAGTCTTACCTGTATAACCAAACCTACACCTTAGCTCCAGGATGAGTCTTACCTGTATAACCTAACCTAAACCTTAGCGCTATGATGAGTCTTACCTGTATAACCAAACCTATATGTTAGCTCCAGGGTGAGTCTTACCTGTATAACCAAACCTACACCTGAGCTCCAGTTTCAGTCTTACCTGTATAACCGAACCCACACTACACCTCCTTGATAAATCTCACCTGTATAAACTTACTCTCACCTCAGCTCCATGATAACTCATACATACATAACCAAACCCAACCTCAGCTCAAAGATGAGTCTTACCTGTATAACCAAACTCACATTTCTTGGATTTCTCACCTGCAGGAAAACGTTCAACTCATTGGTTCACATATATTTCCAGGATGTGACTGACCAGTCTGCTCTAGAAGCTAACTTGATGCTGCAACAACAAATGCTGAATGAGAAGCTAGAAGAAATGCAGCAAGAATTGGCCCAGACAGCTGAAGATCTCCATATGTCACGCACACAGACTGACGAGTTCCAGAACCTGCATAAAAATGTATTTAAGAAATTTCTATGTCAATATAAACTCGAATCTAACACAAATCCTATAAACCATTTATCGGCAGTACAAAAAATAAATCTTTTAATTCTCAAGTTCTAAATATTATCAAGTTTACCCAATGCATTTAATCGAACATTTGTAGCACACCTGGTCGACCATGGTGAGCTTCTGTCATATCATGGCTTCTGTTATCCGTCTGTCAATAATTTCTTCAAACAACTCCTTTCTCTTAACCAGCAACTGGAATAAAACAAAAAATTAGGGTGGTCAGGTGGTGGTCGGGTGGTGGTCAGGTGGTGGTTGGGTGGTCGGATGGTCGGATGGCACAGTGGATAAGCACACTCGCCTTCCCAAATTGATGGGAAAAGGTATGGGGTCACCTGCCTGACCATGTTGATTTGTTCTGTGTACTCGGGTTTCCACCCACATCAAGACCCACTGCACACTACCATCTGGACCAACAAGAATGATTGATATAACTTGATTTAACTTGTTTCATAATTATTATAAAGTAAATAAAGTTTATATTAATTTTACCAAAATATGACTGGTAACATTGCAAGGTGTGGATATCATTGTTTACGTTACTGTCAAAGAAATTTGAATGTGCATCAAAGGAATAAGAAGTTTGCCAGCGTCCCTTAATTGAATAATAAGACAAAATGGATCGCGAATATGTTCCATGTATCTAGATGTTGAAGGAACCAAGCAATGGTTTTCATGGGATTGTTATCTAGCTGAAGAGTGAACGGTGCCATATTTGAAACAAGTATCAATTTTTTCACTGTGTTTATGCTAATTTTTATGTAATTGTACTTTACTAAGCTGAAGAAGGGAGATAAGTAAATATAAAGAGACAAATACACGTATGCTACCAGGATCGCCCACGGGTTTGGCCCCACCCATGGAGACTTGACCCCTGGATCATAAGTTCGAAATAGTTGAGAACCCTACCCATATCCATATACAATTGCTGGGTAAAAGAGACAAACACAGTCAGGATATTAGAATCTGGCAACATCCCAGGGGACTTAGTTCTTGGTCACTACTTGAAAGCATTTCAGATCCCCACCTTATAACCATATATACATTACTGAGTGTAAAGAAATTAATACTTATGTACTACCAGAATGCATCATGGGTATGGCTCACTTTTGGAGACTTAGTATCTGGGTCACAACATTGAAACGGTTGAGATCCTCACTCCATACCCATACACGAAGTTGCTGAATGTAAAAAGACAAGTACACATATGCTACCAGGATGGCGTTGAGGTCTGACCACACCCCTTGGGACGTTGTGTCTGGCTTAAAACTTTGAAACAGTCGAGATCCCCACCCGAAAACCTTACATACAGTTTTGTTAAAAAAGTCAGCCTTGGTGTCTGCTCCCATCCCTAGGGACTTTTTTATTTCCTGGGTCATAACATGAAAACACCACCCTATAACCATATATACAATTGCAAAAAATGAAAATTTGGACACACTTATAAAATCTATTACCTGTAACTGAGCGAGATCGGGTTATCTCAGTCGAGGGTTAAGATTCTGTAACAAAATCCCAACCGAGTCGTAAGCCGAGGTTGGGATGTTACATAATCATAGCCCGAGACTAGCTAAAAACTGTAAGTATCCCACCTTCGGCCTCAAATGATGATGACCTCTTCACTGCTTAAGCTACATTTGAATGCTTCTGCGTAAAAGCGTAGCCCATCCTTACATATATTACAACATATTTCACAATGTAGATTATATTTTATCTACAACATCAAATATCTAACAACATCAAAACTATACAATAATGTCAAAACAGAACATTTATAATGCAAATTGTTAATTTCAAGCAGTTAACGCGCGGATGAATACATCGTAGTGTAAAAATTCTGCGAAATGTCACGTAAACGTACAAGACAGATCGAACGAGATAGAAAAATCTAGCATGACGTGGGATATCTCTGTCTGAGGTGCGATAAATATACTATCTGGTTGTGGATTGACCCTGTAGACTGGTCTTATCCCAGGAACCTTATTTGCCATTCTACTTTTAATGCGAATATTTTGTCATGGTTGTTTAAATATCCAGGTGAGCGATACAGGCCCTCTGGGCATCTTGTTTATAAAAGACAAGATGTTTTACACAATTTTAATTTTCAAGCAAATAAGTAAAATTTGTTTGTTTCCTATGATAGTTTTTACAGTAATAGTTAAAACATATACTGTATAACAGGAAATGTTCGTGGATACTTTCCTTCGTGGTTTGAAGCCATTTAGATCGTTTCGTGGTACAAACTTTCGTGGATATTCTGTATTAACAAACAGTAGACATGTATATCATTCTAATTCGGTGTATTTTTTGGTTCAGTAACAACCACGAAAACCATGAATGTTTCTACACAACGAACATTTCATGATATACAGTAGATGACATCAGTATTTGTACATTTTCAGGTGAAGGAAACCTGTGAAAGACTGAAAAAAGAGAGGACAAAGATGGACAGTCTCCTAGAGAAACAGCTGTCTACAACCAACCATTATTTTGAGATGATCCAGAAATTGGAAGATGACAAGAAAATGGTAGGATGTTATTCAGGAATGGTGACTTTATAACTGTGACTGATCCATTTTATGATTCCTTGCTGAATGTAGCGGAGCATCTACAAAACAGAAATACCTGTCCCTGTATCCAAATTTCTTGAAATATTTTAGCTCATCTGGCACACCAGTGCTTCTGGCAATGGTGCAGCATCCACTGCCCAGCTTCTGGTGTCAACTTTTAAATGACTTTATCATGCTGATAGTCTCAATATTTGCCCTGTACCTGGCCATGTTTGTGTTCAAATGAATGTCCTTGTATCACTTTCAATGTCATTACGGTCAAATATGTTCAAAAGATTAAAAGTACTTAAAAATAGTTGGCCTGGATCCTGCTGAAGTGAATGTGTTCCTTTACCTACCTTCAAGGTCACAAGTATCAAATATGTTGTGGTTTTTTTAAACAAAATACTCCTGAATATTCGGCCTTTCTAGGATGAAATATATTTTTCGAAAAAAACCTCTTTGACCTTACAATGTTTAAAGAAAACTTCAGAAGATCTTTAATGCCTGTTTTGAAATAAATTACGTTGACATACTTTAATTGTCACAAGGGTCAAATACATGTATTTTTAAATTCAAATGACATTTTATGAAGATCCATAAGGTCTAGTTTAATGACTTTGGATGAGATTCATCAGTTAAGGATTATTAATATACAGTTTGTTCTGTCTACAGACAGTATTTGGAACTACATGTTGGGTTTTGCGAGCTTTCGAAAGCAACTGTTTCCTTTGTCAAACAAAGAGTGTAGATTACCATTGTTGTGGTCTTCATAAAGTTGTAAACAACTCCTAAATTAGTGTTTTGCTGAGTTAGCTGTCAAAAAATGTATGTAGTTATTTTGTCTCGCCCCTATAATGTATCCATTAAAAGCTGATATAGGTATGCATAATGCCCATCCACCTGACTGCACTGTTAGACCACATCCACCTGACTGCACTGTTAGAGCCCATCCACCTGACTGCACTATTAGAGCCCATCCACCTGACTGCACTATTAGACCCCATCCACCTGACTGCACTATTAGACCCCATCCACCTGACTGCACTGTTAGACCACATCCACCTGATTATATAGGTATGCATAATGCCCATCCACCTGACTGCCCTGTTAGACCACATCCACCTGACTGCACTGTTAGAGCCCATCCCCCTGACTGCACTATTAGACCACATCCACCTGACTGCACTACTAGAGCCCATCCACCTTACTGCACTGTTAGACCACATCCACCTGACTGCACTGTTAGACCACAGCCACCTGACTGCACTGTTAGACCACATCCACCTGATTGCACTGTTAGACCACATCCACCTGACTGCACTGTTAGAGCCCATCCCCCTGACTGCACTATTAGACCACATCCACCTGACTGCACTATTAGACCCCATCCACCTGACTGCACTATTAGACCACATATGTCCACCTGACTGCACTACTAGAGCCCATCCACCTGACTGCACTGTTAGACCACATCCGCCTGACTGCACTGTTAGACCTCATCCACCTGACTGCACTGTTAGACCACATCCGCCTGACTGCACTGTTAGACCACATCCACCTGACTGCACTGTTAGACCACAGCCACCTGACTGCACTGTTAGACCACATCCACCTAACTGCACTGTTAGAGCCCATCCACCTGACTGCACTATTAGAGCCCATCTACCTGACAGCACTATTAGAGCCAATCCACCTGACTGCAATATTAGAGCCAATCAACCTGACTGCACTATTAGAGCCCATCCACCTGACAGCACTATTAGAGCCCATCCACCTGACAGCACTATTAGAGCCAATCCATCTGACAGCACTATTAGAGCCCATCCACCTGACTGCACTATTAAAGCCTATCCACGGGACTGCACTATTAGAGCCCATCCACCTGACTGCACTATTAAAGCCCATCCACCTGACTGCACAATTAGAGCCCATCCACCTGACTGCACTATTAAAGCCTATCCACGGGACTGCACTATTAGAGCCCATCCACCTGACTGCACTATTAGAGCCCATCCACCTGACTGCACTATTAGAGTCAATCCACCTGACTGCACTATTAGAGCCCATCCACCTGACAACACTATTAAAGTCAATCCACCTGACTGCACTATTAGAGCCCATCTTCCTGACAGCACTATTAGAGCCAATCCACCTGACAGCACTATTAGAGCCAATCCACATGACTGCACTATTAGAGCCCATCTTCCTGACAGCACTATTAGAGCCAATCGACCTGACAGCACTATTAGAGTCCATCTGACTGCACTACTAGAGCCCATCCTCCTGACAGAACTATTAGAGCCAATCCACCTGACGGCACTATTAGAGCCCATCCCCCTGACAGCACTATAAGAGCCACTCCCCCTGACTGCACTATTATAGATCCCATCCACCTGACAGCACGATTAGAGCCAATCCATCTGACTGCAATATTAGAGCACAGCCACCTGACTGCACTATTAAAGCCTATCCACGTGACTGCACTAGTAGAGCCCATCCACCTTACTGCAATATTAGAGCACAGCCACCTGACTGCACTATTATACCACATATGTCCACCTAACTGCACTACTAGAGCCCATCCTCCTGACTGCACTGTTAGACCGCATCCAACTGACTGCACTATTAGACCCCATCCACCTAAATGCACTATTAGAGCCCATCCCCCTGACAGCACTATAAGAGCCACTCCCCCTGACTGCACTATTATAGAGCCAATCCACCTGACTGCAATATTAGAGCCAATCCCCCTGACTGCACTATTAGAGTCAATCTACCTGACTGCACTATTAGACCCCATATGTCCACCTGACTGCACTACTAGAGCCCGTCCACCTGACTGCACTATTAGACCACATCCACCTGACTGCACTTTTAGACCCCATCCACCTGACTGCACGATTAGAGCCAATCCATCTGACTGCAATATTAGAGCCAATCCACCTGACAGCACTATTAGAGTCCATCTGACTGCACTACTAGAGCCCATCCTCCTGACAGCACTATTAGACCCAATCCGCCTGACTGCACTATTAGAGTCAATCTACCTGACTGCACTATTAGACCACAACCACCTGACTGCACTGTTAGACCACAACCAACTGACTGCACTATTAGACCCCATATGTCCACCTGACTGCACTACTAGAGCCCGTCCACCTGACTGCACTGTTAGACCACAACCCCCTGACTGCACTGTTAGACCGCATCCAACTGACTGCACTATTAGACCCCATCCACCTAAATGCACTATTAAAGCCCATCCACCTGACTGCCCAATTAGAGCCAATCCACCTGACAACACTATTAGAGCCAATCCATCTGACTGCAATATTAGAGCACAGCCACCTGACTGCACTATTATAGAGCCAATCCACCTGACAGCACTATTAGAGCCAATCCACCTGACTACACTATTAGAGCCCATCCACCTGACAGCACTATTAGAGCCAATCAACCTGACTGCACTATTAGAGCCCATCCACCGGACTGCACTATTAGAGCCCATCTATCTGACTGCACTATTAGAGCCCATCCACCTGACTGCACTATTAGAGCACATCCACCTGACTGCACTATTAGAGCCCGTCCACCTGACTGCACTATTAGAGCCCATCTATATTAGAGCCCATCCACCTGACTTCCACCTGACTGCACTATTAGAGCCCGTCCACCTGACTGCACTATTAGAGCCCATCCACCTGACAGCATTATTAGAGCCCATCCACCTGACTGCACTATAAGAGCCCATCCACCTGACTGCACTGTTAGAGCCCATCCACCTGACAGCATTATTAGAGCCAATCCACCTGACTGCACTATAAGAGCCCATCCACCTGACTGCAATATTAGAGCCAATCCACCTGACTGCACTATTACAGTGCAATCTCATGAGAAAATAGTTTGTAAATACTGCTTGTGTACAAAATAAGGTTGTCAATGGTTAGCTGGTTAATTGGTCACTCAGTCGAGAAAACCACAAACTGCTTACAAAATTTAATAATCAAATAATGTAAGATAGCAAGTTCTGACACCCCTTTTTCAACCTGGATAATTCTGTCTTATATGCAAAGGTGCGAAATAAGATGTCATCTTGTTTCTTTTACAAAATATCTTTCTATCATTAACTACTGTTGATACTTTCAGCATTCCAGTGGTGATCGTTTTTCAATGGTGATCTTATATCAGTGTTGATCTTATTTCATTGGTGATCTTATTTCAATGGTGATCTCATATCAGTGTTGATATTATTTCATTGGTGATCTTATTTCAATGGTGATCTTATATCAGTGTTGATCTTATTTCAATGGTGATCTTATTTAAGTGGGTGATCGTATTTCAGAGGTGATCTTATTTCAATGGTGATATTATTTCAATGGTGATCTTATTTCAATGGTGATCTTATTTAAGTGGGTGATCTTATTTTAATGGTGATATAATTTCAATACTGATATTATTTCAATGGTGATCTTATTACGCCTTTTGCGTATATTGTGGGTATGCCAGTTCATCAATATGCTAGCCTACTAAAATCAATGATATTCTAACATTTAAGTGTGTAAACCAGGATTCAAAAAGCTTCCTCCTGATGAATAATCCCTGTATACAGACGTTGTATTCAGGGATTTTGGGGTTTGAATTCCTATAACATACTTAAATGAACCCCAGTAACTTACAATGTCTTCACAATACACTGATATAAGTTTTACATAACTGATGATCTTAATAAAATATTGAAATAAAATTAGTTAAAATAAGACATTTTGAAGTTTACATTCTATAAAAAAAAAAAAAAAAAAAAAAAAAAAAATCTGTTTGGGAAGCCTTCGTCTCAAATTTGATTTTGTGAGGGAACAAGTCGTTGAAAGGGTTAACAGTAATACTCGTGATGCTTCATTTCCTCGGTTTATAAGCAGAAGCTATTAAACTTGATTATGGCCCTGAGTCAAGATATAGGATTCTTATGATATTTGCATTAACTGGATGATGACCAGAGATGAACTATAACTAAGGCATTATTTTTAAGACTAATACATAGTGTGAAGGTCTGCTTCATGAGATCTCCGTTTAACTGGACTTCAAGATAAAAACAGACACATACTGTTTAAGGATGGTGTAAATTAATATACATTGTACATTTGTATATCGTTTTTAGGCTTTGCATATTCAGACACCAAATATCTCAAAACATCTAAATGCTATTTTAGAAATCAGTATATAAAAAAGCAGTGATTATGTGGTCGTTAAGCCGCCTTATGTTTCCTGTTTAATAGTTAGAGGACGAGCGCATTAAAGAACAAAAGAAAGTGAGTGAGGAGTCGGAGAAGAGAAACAAACTGTTCATGGAGAAACATAAATTGGAACAGGATTATACAGCGCTGTGCACTGAAGTGGAATATTTACGTGGAAAACGCAATTCACAGGTATAGTCTGTAATTTTTAATGCTCCTGTTCCTTAGAACTTTTATTATTTCTAAATGCTGAAGTTACCTTACACATTGTTATTTAAGGACAGAATCATGGTCTGTTGAGGTTTAGGGGGCATAAATCCCTCTGCAATAAAGCATTCTAGTCTCTCTGGAGTATAACTTACAGATAAACCTCATTGGGTCTCGAGTCAAATTTAATGAACTGTTATGGGTATAAATCTCATTGGGTTTTGAGATAATTTTTATGAACTGCAAAACCCGATAAACCTCAACAGAACAGGATTCCTTATATTTACATTCAATGCGATTTGATAATTTGGATAATTCCAATGTTTAAACAATATAAGATATAGACACATGCTTGTTTCAATCAGAAATTTATGGGGAAAAAATTGAAAACAATCTATATCAATGGGACTATTTTCTATACTTTTTTCCTGTTATATGCTTACCGGAAAGTTCATGAAAAAATAACTCTCCAGCTCCTTGGTACGTATATTGAGTCCAAGTTCAGTAGAAATGAAAATGTATTTCTATACCCTAAAACACTACATTTCTTTATCCTAAAACACTGTCACAATTCTTTATACACTTTCATGTATATATACCCTAAACACAGTTACATTTCTAAATGTTCCATTATTCTAGAATGTTGGGTGATATTGCAATACCTTAAAACACTTTTTTTTTTTTTATATGCTTCAGTACCCTAGAATCCTGTTAAGAATACAAAAAATCATATTTTATATTCCAATTCACAATGATAATCAGTATTTTATATAACCTAGTTGGTTATCATTCTTAACTTCAGTGTGATCTTAAAATGTTCCCATTCTTGTGTTCAGTGTGTCTATTAATTGTTCCCATTCTGGTGTTCAGTGAGACCTTAAATTGTTCCCATTCTGGTGTTAAGTGAGACCTTAAATTGTTCCCATTCTTGTGTTCAGTGAGACCTTAAATTGTTCCCATTCTTGTGTTCAGTGAGACCTTAATTTGTTCCCATTCTGGTGTTCAGTGTAACCTTAAATTGTTCCCATTCTTGTGTTCAGTGAGACCTTAAATTGTTCCCATTCTGGTCTTCAGTGTAACCTTAAATTGTTCCCATTCTGGTGTTTAGTGTAACCTTAAATTGTCCCCATTCTGGTGTTCAGTGTAAGCTTAAAATGTTCCCATTCTGGTGTTCAGTGTAAGCTTAAATTGTTCCCATTCTGGTGTTCAGTGTAACCTTAAAATGTTCCCATTCTGGTGTTCAGTGTAACCTTAAATTGTTCCCATTCTTGTGTTTAGTGTAACCTTAAATTGTCCCCATTCTGGTGTTCAGTGGAAGCTTAAAATGTTCCCATTCTGGTGTTCAGTGTAAGCTTAAATTGTTCCCATTCTGGTGTTTAGTGTAACCTTAAATTGTTCCCATTCTTGTGTTCAGTGAGACCTTAAATTGTTCCCATTCTGTTGTTCAGTGTAACCTTAAATTGTTCCCATTCTGGTGTGTAGTGTAACCTTAAATTGTCCCCATTCTGGTGTTCAGTGTAGCCTTAAATCGTTCCCATTCTGGTGTTTAGTGAGATCTTAGATTGTTCCCATTCTGGTGTTCAGTGTAACCTTAAATTGTCCCCATTCTGGTGTTCAGTGTAACCTTAAATTGTTCCCATTCTTGTGTTCAGTGAGACCTTAAATTGTTCCCGTTCTGGTCTTCAGTGTAACCTTAAATTGTTCCCATTCTTGTGTTCAGTGAGACTTTAAATTGTTCCCGTTCTGGTCTTCAGTGTAACCTTAAATTGTTCCCATTCTGGTGTGTAGTGTAACCTTAAATTGTCCCCATTCTGGTGTTCAGTGTAAGCTAAAAATGTTCCCATTCTGGTGTTCAGTGTAACCTTAAATTGTTCCCATTCTTGTGTTTAGTGTAACCTTAAATTGTCCCCATTCTGGTGTTCAGTGTAATCTTAAAATGTTCCCATTCTGGTGTTCAGTGTAAGCTTAAATTGTTCCCATTCTGGTGTTTAGTGTAACCTTAAATTGTCCCCATTCTGGTGTTCAGTGTAACCTTAAATTGTTCCCATTCTGGTGTTCATTGTAACCTTAAATCGTTCCCAATAAAGCGTTCAGTGCAACCTAAAATCGTTGCCATTCTGGTGTTAAGTGAGACCCTTAATTGTTCCCATTATAGTGTTCAGTGAGACCTTAGATCCTTCCCATTATAGTGTTCAGTGTGACCTAATTTGTTCCCATTTTGGTGTTGAGGATGATGGTAGACTGCTGTTATTTTCATGTTTTACCTGACATTATATTACAGGAGAGCCAGGACAGTTCTGACGACCAGCTATCTCAAGTTTCGGTAAGATTCATCAACACACATGGTACAATGAAACCATTATGAGGCAATTTTTTTTTAGGCCAGCTAGGGTCAGGGCCCAATGAGGGAAAAAGTGGTTAAGATTTGAAAGACTTTTCCTTCTATATGGATCGACAGAATTTAACCTAATTTGGTGTTAAGTAACCTAAAGGTTTGATTTTGTATAAATGAAGGTTGTTGCACCCTTTGGTACAGAAGGGCTGGCCAAATAGTGAGAATAGCAGCTGGCCATATCCTGCTAATGGTCTTCATGGTTTGTGTCTGAAACAGTAAGTGGCCAAGGCATAACTATCACATTTTGTATAAATAAAGTGGGTACAACCCTGGGGCCAGAGGAGCAGGGCCAACAATGGAATTTTACACCTTTATTACTTCAAAATATTACTTCTCAATGGCTAGACAGATTGTAACCATGTTTGGTTTAAAAAGGTCATAATATTTGTTTTGATAAATGAAGTTATTACAACCCTTGAGATTGAAGAGATCCCTGCATATATCATAACATCATAACAGTTGAGATCCCCATCATGTATAACCATTTATTAGCTTGCCTGGCCTGAAGGGCCAAGTGAGTTTATGCCTTGGCGCAATGTCCGTTGTCCGTCAACATTTCCGTATAAAACACTACTTAATGGCTAAGTGGATTTTGACCAAATCTGGTCTGGAGCATCATTGGCCAATGGGTTCTCAATTTGTATAAACGGAGGATATAGACACCTTGGGGGCAGAGGGGCGGGGCCAAAAATCTTCTCCTTCTAAACCAAATGAGGGACTTGACCAAATTTGTTCTAAAGCATCTTTGGACAAAGGGGTCTCAATTTTGTATAAACAGATGGTGTGGCCCTCCTTTGGGCAGCGAGGCAGGGCCCAATAAGGGAAATAAAAGAAAAAATATATATAAAGGAAAATTTTAAAAATTCTTCTATTTTTGTACCGATGAAAGGATATTTGAACCAAACTCGTTCTAGAGCATCTTTGGGTGAAGAGGATTCAATTTTGTATTAACTGAGTATGTGGCTCTCCTGGGGACAGAGAGACAAGGCCCAATAGGGGAAATATAGGAAAATATAGGAAAATGTTTCTCCTTCTTGTACAAATGAAGGGGGGGGGGGGGGGGGGGCAGAAGGATGTGACCCAATAGGGGAAATAGAAGTAAATCAATAAAACCCTTCACCCTTCACCTTCCATATGAATGAAGGAATTTCCCCCATATCCAAATGTACAATTGCTACCTCCCTGGGTCATAACATTGAAACTGTTGAGATCCCCATGTCATAACGATTTACAAAAGAGCTTGACTTGAAGAACACACTCATGTTCTTGGTGTCTTACTTACCCAAATAGATTTAGTCCTTCTTGTAACTTGTCTTTGTTGTACTCCTTTGATACTCAGCAGGTTTTAAATTGAAAATAAAATACCAGGTGAGCTATTAAGGCCCCTGGGCCTCTTATTAAATTTCTAGGCATGAATAGACCATTACATTCATGCCACAATGATTAGCTCAGGGGTCTGGCCCTACTCCTACACTTGCTTTGCATGAAAAGACAACACTCTGGCTACCAGGATTGGCCTACCCTTTGGGACATGGAGCCGTGAGGATTAGTGTAGCAAATATAGATGAATGACGATTTAACTGACTAATGTTAAAATGTACTAGGAAACTTTATTTTTTACTTATCCAGAACTCGCGTGATGGAGATGTGGAAAGAACTAGAGGTAGGTTACCGGATATGTATGTCAATCATAGCTGCTGCTGAAATTGTAAAGCTACAGGGTGTCTTGAGGACAAAGGTGTGGGGCCCAGTTGGGGAAATATGGATAAATCCTACATCTTGATTATCAGGATTAAGGGATTTTACTTAATTTGACCTGGAGGATCCTTAGGTCCTTCTTATATAAGAGTTTGTTCAAGGGAAAAAAAATAATTATGACAAGATGTTTGGTAAATTATAATAGGAAAATGATTATCTTAAAAATACCTGATTTAATGTATGCATGTTCAGATAGAGAGATTAAAGTGTGCGCTTACAATTGGAGAATAATTCAACATTTATTCCTTACATTTCAAATACAAAAGGATAAAAAAAGTCTATCATACATAGATGCTGAAAAACAAACAGATATGCAAAAATTAACATTCATACAACAAGGTCGTCATATATGTTCTTCAAATCCATCTGTCTGTTTCATATAAAACAAACAATAGCAGTGAGGTATTCAGCCCCTTAGGCCTCTTGTTTATAAAAATGATAGCTTTCATAAACTTAAAATATTTATGAAATAATAAGTTTTATCATTTTAAGCCTCAAAAGAGAGGTCATGCATTGAAAAAGGATTTGACATTTTTTCACTGCAGATAAAAGGAGTGGAATTTATAGCAACAATTCGTCCATCCATGTCCACCCAGGTACTGTTCGCAAGCCTTCTGACCGCATTACAGATCAGATCCCTAGCAGACTGAACACACAGGTGGCACGACTGATGGTGTCAGGCCCCAGAAGTAGGTATTTTATCATGTATTGTAGTTACAATCTCCTGAAACAATTTTCATACAAAATATAATAATTATCTGATACCGGTCTTTTTTAATGTTTTGTTTATACATACTGTATCTCTATTGTTCATGATTCCTCAGATTTTGTTCACAAATACAACAAACGTTTGAGAAGTAAATATTTATCAAATGATAGGGGCCCTGTCTTTCAGTCTGTCTACGTTTCATTTCTCAGAAAAGATCAACAGACATAGATCAAACGAAGATCTCATGTCTGGGTCCTTTATGACTTGTTATCTCACCTGCCCGAAATTAAATACACTATAATGNACTATTTTTTACTCAAATTGGTACATATTTCAACAACAAAAATAAATACTATAGACTCAGGTGACCGTTAAGGCCCATGGGCCTCTTGTTTTATTATATAAGATGACGACAATAATGTACCAGAAAGGGTTTATCGGCGTGGCAAACTGAAAGATGGTCAGTACGTAACCATGGAAATGATAGACGAGGTTCCAGGTGAGGATAAGTCGTTCAAGTCAGATGAGTCTGTCCACACATCAGAAGACAACGGCCTGTGTCCAGTACTAGAGGATATGTTAGCTCCATACATACAGTCCTCGTAAGTCTGATTGTAATATTGTCCTCGTAAGTCTGATTGTAATATTGTCCTCGTAAGTCTGATTGTAATATTGTCCTCGTAAGTCTGATTGTAATATTGTCCTCGTAAGTCAGATTGTAATATTGTCCTCGTAAGTCTGATTGTAACATTGTCCTCGTAAGTCTGATTATAATATTGTCCTCGTAAGTCTGATTGTAATATTGTCCTCGTAAGTCTGATTGTAATATTGTCCTCATAAGTCTGATTGTAATATTGTCCTCATAAGTCTGATTATAATATTGTCCTCGTAAGTCAGATTGTAATATTGTTCTCGTAAGTCTAATTGTAATATTGTCCTCGTAAGTCTGATTGTAATATTGTCCTCGTAAGTCTGATTGAAATATTGTCCTCGTAAGTCTGATTATAATATTGTCCTCGTAAGTCAGATTGTAATATTGTTCTCGTAAGTCTAATTGTAATATTGTCCTCGTAAGTCTGATTGTAATATTGTCCTCATAAGTCTGAAATCTGATTGTAATATTGTCCTCATAAGTCTGATTGTAATATTGTCCTCGTAAGTCCGATTGTAATATTGTTCTCGTAAGTCTGATTGTAAAATTGTCCTCGTAAGTCTGATTGTAATATTGTCCTCGTAAGTCTGAAATCGGATTATAATATTGTCCATGTAAGTCTGAAATCGGATTATAATATTGTCCATGTAAGTTTGAAATCGGATTATAATATTGTCCATGTTAGTCTGAAATCGGATTATAATATTGTCCTTGTAAGTTTGAAACTTGATTGTAATATAATCCTCTAAAGTCTGAATTCTGTTTATGGTACAATCCTTGTATGTCTGAGATCTAAAAGAAATACAGTCTGCTTAAGGAGGCTCCACCCTTTAGCAGTTAGCCAGCAGAATTCAATGAAAGTTTCACATAATGGTAATGTCACTATGTAGAGATGATTTTATGAAAATCTAAGCATTCCGATAAACTGGGGCTTTTTTTGTAAAAAATACTGAAAAATTGTTTTTTTGTCATATCTAACACTTTCACATTTTTTAAGCATGTGGCATTATTCAAAACTATTACAACAATAAAATAATGAAAAGAAACATTGCTAATCAACCCTACAAACATTTTATTTTTCATAAAATATCTACAAAATGTTACAAAAAGCGTTTTTTAATGAAATTGTATGGAAAAAAGTTACTATATACAATCTAAGAGCAAACAGGACACATAGGTTCATACAAAAAGAGTGAATAATTGAACCAAATACGCACAAAATCTTCATAATTCATTTATTTTACATTTTACAATAATTTTGATCCTGATGAGAGTTGTCTACCTTGAAAAAAATTGGAACTTTTTGCAGAGGGATAGAATTTGTACAATGACACTTATTTTATTTACTATACCAAAAACGACGTAAATAAATGAAATTACTATATTTAATTGTCAATTTACTGTTCTTTTATGGAACAAAATTACACTCAATCATGTACACTTTGGACATCATTCCATAGCCCGCTTACGCATGGTATATTAACATGTCAGGTACATACGTAACCGTAGGCTATTGCATGGTTTGCCGTTATTACGTGCACGCACATGCACTTGCATTTTATAGGGATCTTGATATTTTACAAAGAACTATTTTTTTTTGTAATTGCATTTGTGAACCGATTTATCTGACAGAGCGTAACTCGCTGCTCGACAACAAAAGTCGTAGCGACCAAGAGCTTGTGAAACTGTTAGCATGTGATACGTACAGGTGAGGTCGGTAAACAAAACACATCAGTCTACATTCCATGCGCCCCATATACAACCTTCTTGAAGTCACCTGATCGATGTCAGTGTTTTCCTGTGAGTTAATTAATATCTTTGTATTATAAGCTTTTTTTCTGAAGTAGTCGTGTGATTACAGATGATTTCTAAGTTATTAGAATGTCTCGATATCGTGTACTATTGTATACCCAGTGTTGCTATAATTTACACTACGGTAATGGAATGCCCGATACGCAATACGAAAATGACGACACGAAAATATGATAAGAAAAACATGTGTATTACGAAGGGTGGGAAGTCCTCAAGTCTCAAATCTGCTTGTACAATGTTATAAAAGTGTAAATGATAGTGACAGTTATTTTTACCACTTGTCCTTCAGTATAGGAAAATGTTTGTGACTGTTCCAGGTCCACCAATCCTCCTTCCACCTACACCATAAAGATACCAACGCCCTTACTAAAGGACAAGTTTGAAATCACAGGTGGAAACATGACTGGCATCTATGTAAAGAAGGTCACCAAGAAAAAATTATCCCAAATTCAGGAGGGGGACAAGATACTGTCGGTGGGTTTGAAAACATTCCTAAAGGAGAGAACAGAAAATTCTGTCAGTACATTTCAAAATTTTGTCAATACATTAAGGTCAGCAAAATATTTCTACATGACAGAGACAAAATGTTCTCAGTCGGTCTGGAAAAACTCCTTTAATAGGGAGATAACAAACTGTCACCAGGTCTGGAAATATTCATATTGGTTGGAAATACTCCTATATATATGGTAGACAACATATTTTTAGAAGGTCTGGTTATACTGAGAATGTTAATTGATACCTTATTATGTGCATATACTACCTAGATATTTATTAGGGAAATTCCTATCATGGATATGATGTTATGTATATATGACCTTGAACTTCAGGTGGGGGTGTTCATCACTGACGTACAGGCACTCCACACGGACTTGGTGTACCGCACCTTTGAGGAGGCCACACACATCCTGCAGGCCCAGGCAGACCCCAGACATGCTAATGTGGTAGAGATCAAACTACAGAGGGACCCAGACGGTGAGTCAATACCACATATGAAAGGTTTTATTGTATTTCTGATAATGTGAGTGTATATTGGGATCTGCCTGTACAGGTTTCCCAAACAGGGTTACCACTCTACAAACTTCATTTCTTTTCTGAATGTCGCAACACTTCACACACATGTTTGCAAACATCACCTCTTGTACATGTTTGTGTTTCATCCACCCGCATTGAAAAACTAGGTCACTGTTACTTTAAATAGAGTTATATAGAAATTGCTCTACAGATTTCATTCTTTTTCAATCATCACAGAACTTCACACAATGTGTTCATATACATCCCCTCTACAGACTTCATTCTTTTCAATCATCACAGAACTTCACACAATGTGTTCATAAACATCCCCTCTACAGACTTCATTCTTTTCAATCATCACAGAACTTCACGCGATGTGTTCATATACATCCCCTCTACAGACCTCATTCTTTTCAATCATCACAGAACTTCACACAATGTTTTCATAAACTTCACCACTTATTCAAGTTAAATAGAATTTGATAGAAGTTGCTCAGCAGACTACATTTCTCATTCTATTGTCAGTAAATTTCAGGCACCTGATCACAAACATCATCTCTTGTCCAAGTTTTCATTATACAAGGGTATATTCATATTGTCTGCAATGTTGTGTTTTATCATACTTCTCACTGATTCAAGCTTAGGGGAACACTGGAGGTTTTATTGGAATGTTTAAAATTTTACATGTAAATCTTTTAAAATACAGTAACTGGGTCAAAGTCATGTTTGTGTCAAAGTAATTTATCTATGTTTTCTTTCTCCAGAATATGAAAGAGCACTTAAATGGATAAATCTGCAGGGCAGTGGAGATCTTTTCTACGTCAAGTATGTTATCTCTTCTTAATTTATAAGAATCATGGGAGATATTTGAATCCTCACTGGTTACAGAGAGGCTGATGTATGTACCTCTTGCAGACTACTACTACAGCTATTAACTTAAGTGCATATTTTGTACCACACATTTAGTGTATGCTAGTCTGAATGTGAGCTGACAGTAGCAACTAGTATCTGAGCTCTCAATGTGTGCTGACAGTAACAGCTAGTATCTGAGCTCTAAATGTGAGCTGACAGTAGCAGCTAGTATCTGAGCTCTCAATGTGTGCTGACAGTAACAGCTAGTACCTGAGCTCTCGATCTGAGCTGACAGTGCAGCAAGTATCTGAGCTCTCAATGTGAGCTGACAGTAACAGCTAGTATCTGAGCTCTCAATGTGTGCTGACAGTAACAGCTAGTATCTGAGCTCTCAATGTGAGCTAACAGTTGCAGCTAGTATCTGAGCTCTCAATGTGTGCTAACAGTAACAGCTAGTATCGGAGCTCTCAATATGTGCTGACAGTAACAGGTAGTATCTGAGCCCTCGATGTAAGCTGACATTTGCAGCTAGTATCTGAGCTCTCAATGTGAGCTGACAGTTGTAGCTAGTATCTGAGCTCTCAATGTTAGCTGACAGTTGAAGCTAGTTTCTGAGCTCTCGATGTGAGCTGACAGTTACAGCTAGTATCTGAGGTCTCGTTGTGCTGACAGTAACAGCTGGTATCTGAGCTTTCAATGTGAGCTGACAGTTGTAGCTAGTATCTAAGCTCTCAATGGGAGCTGACAGTTGTAGCTAGTATCTGAGCTCTCAATGTGAGCTGACAGTAACAGCTAGTATCTGAGCTCTGAATGTTAGCCGACAGTTTAAGCTAGTATCTGAGCTCTCGTTGTGTGCTGACAGGTGCAGCTAGTATCTGAGCTCTCAATGTTAGCTGACAGTTACAGCTAGTATCTGAGCTCTCAATGAGTGCTGACAGTTGCAGCTAGTATCTGAGCTCTCAATGTGTTCTGACAGTAACAGCTAGTATCTGAGCTCTCAATGTGTGCTGACAGTAACAGCTAGTATCTGAGCTGTCAATGTGAGCTGACAGTAACAGCTAGTATCTGAGCTCTCAATATGAGCTGACAATAACAGCTAGTATCTGAGCTCTCGATGTGTGCTGACAGTAACAGCTAGTATATGAGCTCTCAATGTTTGCTGACAGTAACAGCTAGTATCTGAGCTCTCGATGTGTGCTGACAGTTGCAGCTAGTATCAGAGCTCTCAATGTGACCTGACAGTAACAGCTAGTATCTGAGCTCTCAATGTTAGCCGACAGTTGAAGCTAGTATCTGAGCTCTCAATGTGAGCTTACAATAACAGCTAGTATATGAGCTCTCAATATGAGCTGACAGTTACAGCTAGTATCTGAGCTCTCAATGTTTGCTGACAGTAACAGCTAGTATCTGAGCTCTCAATGTTTGCTGACAGTAACAGCTAGTATCTGAGCTCTCAATGTTAGCTGACAGTTGAAGCTAGTATATGAGCTCTCAATGTGAGCTGACAGTAACAGCTAGTATCTGAGCTCTCGATGTTAGCTGACAGTTGCAGCTAGTATCTGAGCTCTCAATGTGAGCTGACAGTAAAGGCTAGTATCTGAGCTCTCAATGTGAGCTGACAGTAACAGCTAGTATCTGAGCTCGCAATGTTAGCCGTTAGTTTAAGCTAGTATCTGAGCTCGCAATGTTAGCCGACAGTTGAAGCTAGTATCTGAGCGTTCAACACATGCTGAAAGAAACAGCCAGTATCTCAGTTCTCAATGTGTGCTGAAAGAAACAGCCAGTATCTCAGTTCTCAATGTGTGCTGAAAGAAACAGCCAGTATCTGAGCTCTCAAAATATGCTGACAGTAACATCTGGGATATTGGTACCATCTATATTACATAGTGTGGTACCAAATTTTATCTATATCTCCTTATATCATATCATTTTAGACATTAATGTATTGATGTTGTAACTGCCAACAATGGTACAGTAATGTACATGTTAGATTGATCATATAAATTCTGAATAATGATGAGTCCAGAAGACATCAGTTATCATTATGTCATAGAGTGACAACTCTATCTTTACGCTCATCTTGTTTGAAGGAGCAATGTGAGCTTATATGCCTTAATACAAATTGTCATCCTTCTGTCTGTCAACATTCCATGAATGACTTCTTAAAGTGCTCAAGAAAATTTTACTGCAATCGACTAGAAACGACCGTGGGTGTATGGGATTCCAATTGTACAAATGGAAGTGCTGATAACCTGAGACTCTTCCCTGCCCCCTACTTGAAATCCCCTACGGCCACAAACACTCGCGCATGCATGCTCTGCAGTTTATATGCAATATTACTTATTATGAGAATACAATTAGTTTGCCCAGATTGTTTAAATACCCGTTTGAGTAATACAGACCCCAGGGCCTCTTATTGAAGATTTAAGGCTTATATCAATCGGAAACAACTGCCGCTCTTAAGATTTTAGTATTACATGTCAATGGATTCTAACATCTGTCAATGAAACATTGGTATTTCTGTTTATGATTTTTACAAACTGTATTATTTTTGTCCCTTTTTTTTTACAGGAGTAACTTTACATTGGAAGAAGAAAACAGTTGCCCCAATATACAAAATGGGGAAATCTTTTGTGTTTCGTCTACCATGACGGGGATTTCTGATAAATACTGGAAAGCATTTCGATTTGACAATGAGAACAATTCATGGTCAAATGATCCAGTATCATTACCCAATGTCTCTGAGTAAGTAGATTAATGATCCAGTATCCTTACCCAATGTCTCTAAGTAAGTAGATTAATGATCCAGTGTCCTTACCCAATGTCTCTGAATAAGGAGATTAATGATCCAGTGTCCTTACCCAATGTCTCTGAATAAGAAGATTAATGATCCAGTATCCTTGCCCAATGTCTCTGAGTAAGTAGATTAATGATCATGTATCCTTACCGAATGTCTCTGAGTAAGTAGATTAATGATCCAGTGTCCTTACCCAACGCTCTGAGTAAGTAGATTAATGATCCAGTATCCTTACCCAATGTCTCTGAATAAGTAGATTAATGATCCAGTATCCTAACCTAATGTCACTAAGTAAGTAGATTAATGATCCAGTATCCTTACCCAATGTCTCTGAGTAAGTAGATTAATGATCCAGTATCCTAACCTAATGTCTCTGAGTAAGTAGATTAATGATCCAGTATCCTTACCCAATGTCTCTGAGTAAGTAGATTAATGATCCAGTATCCTTACCCAATGTCTCTGAGTAAGTAGATTAATGATCCAGTATCCTTACCCAATGTCTCTGAGTAAGTAGATTAATGATCCAGTATCCTTACCCAATGTCTCTGAGTAAGTAGATTAATGATCCAGTATCCTTACCCAATGTCTCTGAGTAAGTAGATTAATGATCCAGTATCCTTACCCAATGTCTCTGAGTAAGTAGATTAATGATCCAGTATCCTTACCCAATGTCTCTGAGTAAGTAGATTAATGATCCAGTATCCTTACCCAATGTCTCTGAGTAAGTAGATTAATGATCCAGTATCCTTACCCAATGTGGCTTCATTAAGTGTTGAGCTCTTAAGTTTTTTCAACAGTCTGTCCATCTCTCACAACTGGGTTAATTACTAATATTAATGTGGTGCATGATCCTGTTACCATAAAGAAACATTTCAGATCCCCACCTTGATACATACACTTGCTAATGCATGAAGAGACAGATGCACTAATGCTATCAGGATTGGTCTAGGCATCTGTCCCTGCCCCTGGGGACTAAGTCTCTAGATCCTAACATTGAAATGGTTTAAATCCCCACCCAATAACGAATTGTAATATTGTTAGGCATGATGAGACAGACCTATCATGCTTCTAGGATTAGCCCATAGTTCAAGCCCTGCCACTGTGGACTTGGTCCATAGGTCATAACATGGGTGATGATATTTGGCCACTAGGATGCTGATCTGGAAGGCAATCAAGTTGTAAGAATTTGTGTCACTTTCAAGGTTACAGGGCTCAAATTTGTTAAAAGAAAATGAGTCCCCATTGGCCAAGGATGCTCTACAACAAATTTGGTTAAAATCACTCCATTCATACAAAAAGAAAAAATGATATTGTACCTTTATTTCCCCTATTGAGGCCCCACTCCTCTGACCCCAAGGGGAAACATCCTCCATTTATACAGAAATGAGTCCACTTTTCGTAAAGATTCTCCAGAACTAATTTGGTTAGAATCCGTTCTTTGGTATAAAAGGAGAAGAAATTAGAAGTGCTAACTTTATTTCCCTAATGTAGCCCCGCCCCTCTGTCTCTGGAAGTGGGGGTACATCCTTGTTTTATACAAATTTGAGTCTCTTTTAGCCAAGGATGCTCCAGACCAAATTTGGTCAAAAACCATTAAGGACTAGTAGTGTTTTAAATGAAATGGACCAATGGCCGTCATGGCATAGATCACTGGTCTCTTGGACCAGGTGAGCTAAACAGAAATATGTACTAAACAAATTAATAAATAAAAAGAGATGTCACTAATTTTAGTGCACTATAATTTACAGGGTGTTAAAGCTAAGACGAGCGGGAATAAGTGCAAATAGACAACGTGGCCGCGCGCAAGCATTCCGACGTAAGTATCAATAAACACAGGCCAACATGTCTGTTGGTAATAAATAAGCACCTGTTAGGTAGGTATCAATTATATGTGTATAGAAATAACTCTTTATGGTGTGGTAGGTATTTAAGAAACCACATCACTAGGAGACTTCTTGTATAATGTTCACAAAGCTTTCAACCCATCAAGTATGAATAGTACAAAAAACACACTAAAATGGATTTTTTAATTCACCTGAGTTACACAGGTGATCAGATTTAACTGTTTTTTGTCCATTATCATGTGTCATTGGAAGTGCTTAAACATCTATCATCGTGTGTCATTTAGATTACGACCAATATTTTATGAAATGATTCTAAAATGATAAGGATCAGAAGCTAATCTCTAGAAAGGGCTGACCCCCATCTGCCAGGAGGCTTAGGGCAGGGCCTCAAGGGATCAAAGAGTTCTAAACCTTCAAATGACATTTAAAAAAGTGTATTGGATTCTAAACAGCATTTCATAAAGGGATCCCTACATAATTAGGAGCAGAATTGAATAATTAAGGGACTGAACCTCTACATAGGCTAAAGGGGGATTTTTGTCACTTACTGAAAACCTTCAAAGCTAGGACAATCAGACAAAACTCTCATGAAATCATGCTTAAGTGATGAAAATAAGAATTAATACTTAAGGTGCTGTTATCCCCTTTTCCCAAGGGTTTTTAGGTTGAGAATATAAAAGTTAACATTTTGCAAAAACTATCACATCTTTAAAACTTTCTGGTAGATGTTTACCATCATGACAAAAATGATCCATAGATCATGAGCGTCAGAAGATATACACAAAAAGGGCTTGACCCCCTCTCCGCCCGGTGGAACTCTAACCTCCCCACCAGGTGAGCTCATGGAGTAATTTTAAGTAATTCATATAATTAGTGCAAAATCTTTAAAAGATATCGCATTTGAAAGTTGCTGGTTAATTTAGAACAAACTTTTGTGAAATCAGTCTTTTCTTACTATACCCATTATTTATTTATTCATTTTTAGATGCATTGGTAATAAACAGTGTATCATTCACAATTCCACTGAGGTGACTGCTTAAGCCCGTGAACTTCATGTTAATCTACTAACGGCCATGCTAACATATTCTTTTTTATCTCCTTACAGATCGACCATATTCACGAGTGTTGCCAACAAAATGTAAGCATTCCACTATAAATAAGGGATATCTAGTGGTTTCCCCCTTGAATGCCATTAACATTTTCACATGTGTGTCACCATATTAGGTGAAAATATTAACAGTAAAACAAGTAAAACACATGTACATAAATGAAGTAGATGACTCTGTAACAAACAGCAGGAAGTTTTAGAGTTTTAGAGAGAAGGGAGCGGAAGTGTTAGAGGGAAGGGAACGGAAGTGTTAGAGGGAAAGGAAGGGGAAATGTCACAGGAGAGGGGAGGGGAATTGTTAGAGGAAGGAAGCGGAAGTGTTAAAGGAGAGGGGAGGGAAATGTTACAGGAGAGGGGAGGGGAAGTGTTAGAGGATAGGGAAGGGGAAATGTAAGAGGGTACTTGCTGGGGAGGGAAGAGAAAGAGTTAGAGGGTAGGGAAGGGGAAGAGTTAGAGGGAGGGAAGCGGAAGTGTTAGAGGGTAGGGAAGGGGAAGAGTTAGAGGGTAGGGGAGGGGAAGTGTTAGAGGGAGGGAAGCGGAAGTGTTAGAGGGTAGGGAAGGGGGCGAGTTAGAGGGTAGGGAAGGGGAAGTGTTAGAGGATAGGGAAGGGGAAATGTAAGAGGGAGGGAAGCGAAAGTGTTAGAGGGTAGGGAAGAGTTAGAGGGTAAGGAAGGGGACGAGTTAGAGGGTAGGGAAGGGGAAGTGTTAGAGGGAAGGGAGCGGAAGAGTTAGAGGGTGGGGAAGGGGAAGAGTTAGAGGGTAGGGAAGGGGAAGTGTTAAAGGGAAGGGAGCGAGAGAGTTAGAGGGTAGGGAAGGGGAAGAGTTAGAGGGTAGGGAAGGGGAAGAGTTAGAGGGAGGGAAGTGGAAGTGGAAGTGGAAGAGGGGAGAGAAGGGGAAGTGATAGATTGTAGGTGAGGGGAAATATTAGAGGGAAAAAAGGGGAACAGTTATAGGGTAGGGAAGGGGAAGTGTTAGAGGAAGGGAGCAGAAGTGTTAGAGGGAAGGGAAGGGGAAATGTCACAGGAGAGGGAAGGGGAATTGTTAGAGGAAGGAAGCGGAAATGTTAGAGGGTAGGAGAGGGGAAATGTTAAAGGAGAGGGGAGGGAAATGTTACAGGAGAGGAGAGGGGAAGTGTTAGAGGATAGGGAAGGGGAAATGTAAGAGGGTACTTGCTGGGGAGGGAAGGGAAAGAGTTAGAGGGTAGTGAAGGGGAAGAGTTAGAGGGTAGGGGAGGGGAAGTGTTAGAGGATACGGAAGGGGAAATGTAAGAGGGAGGGAAGCGGAAGTGTTAGAGGGTAGGGAAGAGATAGAGGTAAGGAAGGGGACGAGTTAGAGGGTAGGGAAGGGAAGAGTTAGAGGGAAGAGAAGGGGAAGAGTAAGAGGGTAGGGAAGGGGAAGTGTTAAAGGGAAGGGAGCGGAAGAGTTAGAGGGTAGGGAAGGGGAAGAGTTAGAGGGTAGGGAAGGGGAAGAGTTAGAGGGAGGGAAGTGGAAGTGCTAGAGGGGAGAGAAGGGGAAGTGTTAGAGGGTAGGTGAGGGGAAATATTAGAGGGAAAAGAAGGGGAAGAGTTATAGGGTAGGGAAGGGGAAGTGTTGGAGAGAGGGAAGCAGAAGTGTTAGAGGCAAAGGGAGGGGAAATGCTAGAGGGTACTTCCTGGCGAGGGGAAGTGTTAGAGGAAGGGAGTGGAAATGTTAGAGGGAAGGGAAGGGGAAATGTTAGAGGGTACTTTCTGGCGAGGAGAAATGTTAGAGGGTACTTTCTGGTGAGGGGAAGTGTTAGCAGGGAGGAGATATATATAGATGAGAGGTGAGCGGAAGAGTTAGAGGAGAGATTAGAAGATAGAAAAGTCCCTAAACAATTCTTGATAGCACTTTTTCTCAGAAATTACTTCAGGTGTTTCCTAAATTTCACACAAAGTTCTCCATGGTCCCTTTATATGCATATCAAATTTTGGGACTGATCACAAAACTAAGATGACCGATAGGCAGCCATCTTCAATTGGAGAGTTAAAGTTTGTTAGCTCTATTTCTCAGAACGTAATTGAGGGATCTTTCTCAAGTTTGATATGCAAGATCCCCATAGTCCTTAATGGTACATGTGCACTTTTGAGACTAATTAGAGGAACAAGATGGCTGTCAGTCAAACTAATGAAACAGATAAGAGAAAAGATCGAACGGACAGAACTAATGAAAATGGTGCGATGGTGGATGCCAAGATCCCCCTGGGATCTCTTGTTAAGAAGGGGTAGAGGGGAGAGAAGTGGACATGTTAGAGGGAAGGGAGTGGAAGTGTTAGAGAGCAGGGAAGTTGAAGTGTTAGAGGGTAGGAGAGGGGATGTTTTAGAGAGGAGAGAGGAGGGGGAAGTGTAAGAGGGTAGGGGAGGGGAAGTGTTAGAGTGTACTTCCTGGGAGGGGAAGTGTTAGAGGATAGGGGAGGGGAAGTGTTAGAGGGTAGGAGAGGGGATGTTTTAGAGAGGAGAGAGGAAGAGGAAGAGTTAGCAGAGAGGGGAAGTGTTAGAGGGGGTAGGGGAGGGGAAGTGATAGAGTGTACTTCCTGGGGTGGGGGAAGTGTTAGAGGATAGGGGAGGGTAAGAGAGGTGTTAGGGGGAGGGATAGTGTTAGTATGGAGGAGAGAGATATTGTTAGAGGGGAGGGGAGAGGTAAGGTAGTGTTAGAGGAGAGGGGAGGGGAAGTGTTAGAGGAGAGGAGAGATTAGAAGATAGAAGAGGGAACTAGATTGAGTGTTTATTACAATGAGTTTGTGGAACACACACTTTTATTTCTAATGCAAATTTCAATGTATATTTCAGCACCAAGCACAGATTACAGTACAGACAATGAAGCCTTGTCCCAGTCTACGACTTTCCCCGTGAGTACCAAGTTTGATGGCAAAGTACACTGGCACAAGGAAGGGAAGCTGGAGATGATGGATGTGGAGAGATACCGCCACCTGCTGGGCTATAGCTCTGATGTGTCTTTTGCTGCTACCAGCATTGACCTTGACGGCGACACCTCAAAGATATGCAACTCTATTTGCTTATCAAACGAAGATTTTTCCACAAAGTAGAATATGAATAGGTTATAGAGATTTATTTTTGATTGGCTAAATATTTTAGTGAAACTGTGATAGTGTGGGCTTTTGATTGGTACATTTATTTTGGTAAAAGTCCTGAAGACCAAGGTCTCCTCAAGAGGGCAAAGATCAAGTCAGTCTAATTCTTGTTGGACAAAAAAACTATGAATGACTGAGTATTTGTAATTAAACTTAATTCAGTTGAATGTATCATGACTAAACAGTGTGTCACTTTCAGAAGTTTGTCATATTCCAATCTTAGGTCCATATCCCAAAGGTCTTCCATGTACAAACCTTAGGTCCATGTGTTGGTATGGACATGTACTGCTTTGTAATACTTCATTCAGCATGTTGTTTGACAAGACTTACACAGCAGTTCAATGCTGGAGACCTATACTGGCAGACGTAGACTTTTTTTATTGCTGACCAGACATGGGCTGGTACGCTGATCATTTTTATAGTACCGTACTAAAAATGTGCAGTACTGTATAACAGGAAATGTTCGTGGATACTTTCCTTCGTGGTATGAAGCCATTTAGATCGTTTGGTGGGCCAAACTTTCGTGGATATCCTATATTAACAAACAGTAGACACTTACCATTCAAATTTGTTGTATAGCAACTACGAAAAAATCAGGCATGTTTATACACAACAGACATTTCTTGACATACAGTATATGATGAAAAGGATATGAGATGACCATTTCTATATCCTATCCTGTTTTAACCCCTGACCAATATCAGCCCTTGGCCCATGGGTGTCCAGCCCCTTGGGTCTCACATGGAGGTCTCGCGTTAATACAGGGTGGGATATGGAAATGATCATACAGTCACTCATAATAACGGAATACAGAGGTTTGTTTGTGACATCAAAATGAGTATCAATACATGTGCCACGTGTGTGTGTTGATGTTACTACACTGTATTTACCGCCTGTAATAAATTGTATAGAGAAACATATGAAATGTTTCCATAGTTCCAAAATGATTTCAAGATGGCTGTAATTTTCAGAGATTAATGCGTTGAATATCTTTGACCAAAAGGAGTGTTACTAGGTGGGGATACTGTAATTTAGGTGTGTATATCTTTATGTTGTTAAAGTGATGTTAATATCCTGGGTCACTGAGCTTCAACTTTTCACAACTTTTTACTTGAATCCCACAATGTATCAAAAAATGAATGTTTATATCACTGAAATCCGTGTGAGCCTATGCACAGTAATATATATAGTAGTAGAGTAATATGTGACAGTAATATATGTAGTAGTAGAGTAATATGTGACAGTAATATATATATAGTAGTAGAGTAATATGTGCACAAGTTTGTGTTTACATTATCATTACAAATGGCATTGATGGTTTGTTAATCCTACTTATAACATCAATGCATGTTATCATATCATAACTTTTTTAAGATCTGTGTTTATTTGTGAAACAGGGTTCCTTATTAGTGTGTTCGAGGTTTTTCATTCAAATGTTATACATGTATTGTTCTTTGCTGGCATTGTTGATGTTTTACATAGTTTGTATATATTTTTTCTATTTTTTAACAAAGCGTTGATTCCTGTTATGCTTCATATCCAAATGGTTTGTTACAGTGTTGCCTTGGGGGTCATTTTAGTCCTTAAAAAGAAGACTTCATACATAATGAAATCCTGGTACAGTAAAACCCCCACTTCCTTGAACTCAGTTTACTCGAATACCCCTCATTCATCGAACAGTTTGTTTGGTCCTGACAAGTTCGTACATATTCTTTGTAAAGTAACCCCGGATTAGTCGAACCATTATTCCTCGATTACTCTGTGTTCCTCAAACAAAAAATTGTCCTCGACTCTTGATGGTCATAGTATTAATTAATCCTGTTTATTCGTCAAACAGGTGTGACATGTCATGCCTGACAGATATTTTACCTGTGTATCACACTGACACTTCGAAAATACCTTGGGCTAAGACTTCAGTTTACCAGTATCGGAGATATGCTTAATAATAGCTTGTACTATTTACAATACGTACGTTTGTTTAATTATTATCACTCAAGATTTGACAGATTTATACTTGACGATCTAGGACCAACATCGGATTACTCGAATACCATGTATTCTTCGAACTATTGTTCTGGGTCCCACAAGTTCTAGTAAGTGGGGTTTTACTGTAAATGTGATCCTATGTTGAGTTTCTATGACACCTGGGCGCAATATATATGAGCTGAGACATCTAGCGCAGATTTCAATTGGGCCAATACGAGCTTTAAGCTCATTTCCCGGCCATCCGGATCAAGGTAAATCAAGGTAAGGTAAAATCATTAAACTACTGGTGTACTTATATCAACCACAAAGGTGCATTTATTATATGGTAAGGTTAGGCATAACCATGACATATTTTCTATTTCTATATACAATGTTTTATGGCATTTTAGTCTCTATTTTACCATGTGGTGAATTGATTGTACACAGTGGTGTGTTACTGGTATGAACACCCCTCGTGTCTCCATAGATGTCTACCATGAAGTTTGTTTTATCGTAGGGTGAATTGATAGTACACAGTGGTGTGTTACTGGTATGAACACCCCTCGTGTCTCCATAGATGTCTACCATGAAGTTTGTTTTATCGTAGGGTGAATTGATAGTACACAGTGGTGTGTTACTGGTATGTCTACCATGGAGTTTATTTTACCGGGCGGTGAATTGATAGTACACAGTGGTGTGTTATTAGCTCACCTGGCCCGAAGGGCCAAGTGAGCTAATAACACACCATTGTCCGTCCAGCGTCAACATTTTACTTTAAACAACTTCTTCTGAATAACCAAGACTAGCATAGGGTGATGATATTTGGCCAGTAACATGCTGGGATGAAGGGCTACCAAGTTTGTTCAAATAAATGACCTTCATCCATTTTCAAGGTCACAGGGGTCAAATATGTTAAATTCTTTAAACAACTTCTTCTGAATAACCAAGATTGGCATAGGGTGATGATATTTTGCCAGTAACATGCTGGGATGAAGGGCTACCAATTTTGTTCAAATAAATGACCTTGATTTATATTCAAGGTCACATGGGTCAAATATGTTTAAAACCTTTCAACAACTTCTTCTGAATAACCAAGAGGCCTAGGGGGATGATATTTGGCCTGTAACATGCTGGGATGAAGGGCTACCAAGTTTGCTCAAATACATGACCTTGACTTATATTGTAGGTAGGTCACAGGAGTCAAATATGTTTAAAACATTTAAACAACTTCTGAATAACCAATAGGCCTAGGGTGCTTAAATTTGGCCAGTAACATGCTGGGATAAAGGGCTACCAAGGTTGTTAAAATAAATTACCTTTGTTTATATTCAAGGTCACAGGGGTCAAATATGTTTAAAACCTTTAAACAACTTCTTCTGAATAACCTAGAGGCCTAAGGTGATATTTGGCCAGTAGCATGCTGGGATGAAGGGCTACCAAGTTTGTTCAAATAAATGACCTTCATCCATTTTCAAGGTCACAGGTTTCAAATATGTTCAAAACATTTAAACAACTTCTTCTAAATAACCAAGAGGCCTAAGGTGATGATATTTGGCCAGTAACATGCTGAGATGAAGGGCTACCAAGTTTGTTCAAATGAATGACCTTTCAAGGTCACAGGTTTCAAATGTCTTCAAATCTTCAATCAACTTCTCAATAACCAAAAGGCCCAGGGTACTGATATTTGGCCTGTAGCAATCAGGGCTACCAAATTTGTTCAAATGAATGACCTTGACCCACTTTCAACCTAATGTCATTGTTTGACATTCAAGGTCACACTGATATTCTGCCTGTAGCTGTATTTTAGTCCACTTTCAAGATTACAAGTGTGAGATTAATACCAGGTGAGCGATGCAGGCCCATTGGGCCTCTTATATAATTACTGGTATAAACATCCTCATGTCTCCATAGATGTATACCATGTAGTTTATTTTACTGTGGTGTGAATTGATAGAACACCCCTTATCTCCATAGATGTCTACCATGGCATGAACTATGTGATTTTGAGTGACTATTTGTACGAGAAACAGTTTTATTTCACAACTTTATCTTGTGGTTTCTTCACTGCTACATTTACCTGAAAATTCAAACCACTGTAGAATCATTTATTTTCATGGGGTTAAAATTTCATGGTTTTCATATACTAACCTGTTTCAAGGACATTATATTTTGCTGATTTCTGATTTTCCCTTTTTATATTGTACCAAATTTATGTTTTTGTGGGGATTCAACTTCATGGAAATTTGTTTTCTACGAAATAAACGAAATTTAATGTCCCAAGAAAATTGATGATTTTACTGTAATCCCTTTAATTAAACTTTTGTACATATGTACTTGATATTTGTCTGTCAGGATGTATTACAGCATTTTTATTGTGACAGTAAGCTAAAACTTTATACTAACATTTATACCACTGAAATTATAACAGTTTTCCAGTCTATCAGTCATCAGCAGTATGCTACTATAAAAGTGGAAATCTTCTCACCAGGCAGATTTTGTTGACTTTAAAGTTTAACCTTGTGCAACTCATAACTGAACTAAGAAATGATAAAATCAAATGAACTGGTTTGTATTTACTGAGATAGAAAACTGGAAATAGTCCCACTATTAAAGTATGTGTAGCAGTGGTGTTATTTTAACAGCTTTTAATTAAAATGACTTATTTTCATAGTTTTTAATAAAGCAAAATTCACAGCAGTTATCAGTGTTCTTAGATTTGTACCACTTGCATTATCCACCGATTGGAGATCAGAGGGGGTATTGGAATGTGTGTCGTCTGTCTTTCCATCCAACCACCTCCAATAACTCGAAGATCCAATTGAGACCAAACATCAAGGTCGCTGTTTCTATGAATATAAAAATCTCTCTCCAAACGATAACTGGAATTTCCATGGGCCAATCTGACTAAAACTTAGTAGTTGCTTCCTTACTGAAATGTTTGTTTGGTATTCCTCTATCGGGGCTCTAGCCCTCCAACCCCAGGGGTCCTACCATCTTCATTTATAAAACAAAATGATCAGCTTGGCCAAGTGATGTTTCGAACCAAATATGGTTACAATTTTTTCAGTTGTTCAAGAGGTGGAGTATTTTGAAGTAACAAGAGTGCTAGTATTGCTCCCTTGGATATTTAAGTAGTTATTGCCATATATTTTCATTCAAAGCAGTAACGCAAATAAGATCCAAGGGATAAGGCCAGTCTTCGGAGCCAATACTGGTAGAATAAGTTTTCAAATTTTCATGCTCACCATGCAACTAGTGGTTTAAACTTTGACTTTTGGGCTGTTATCCAAAACTAGCACTGTTGGGATATTGTAAGAATTTGTCAAATAAGTTTTAGGTGTTGGGCAATACTCTGGACAGGTAAGTTACAATAAGTATGTCTCGCCATAAATAAAATAAGATTTTATTATTTTTCTTATTTTTTCACTGCAAATACTATTATTTGCCAAATCAAATCAATGTCACAATATTACACTAAACACCAAGTAAAAATGTGTATTAAACATAACTTTCTTTTTTTCTCTCCAATAAATACGTGATTCCCAGTACGATAATAACTCGGGAAAGGGTCCAGCTGTGATCGGCAGGTGTAGCAGAGATAAACATTTCATATTTTTAAACAATGCTTTTGCAATATTTAGGCCTAAAGGTGAAATGGTTTCATTGCCAAACAAAAAGCTGCAATAATAAAAAAAACAACTCGGTATACAAGGCATGATGAGATACCCAATCACAACGTAGCATACTTAAATTTGAGAACGCTCCAGAGCCCAATAAAGCATAAAATAAGCCAAATTCAGCATCTGCAACAAGCATCCAATTCAGCAAACTTAGCAGTTACATAGTTTCTGAGATAGTGATGAAACAACAACTTTTAGACTGTTACATAGATGAGACCATTTCATGTAAAGGAAGCCGCTAAAAAGTAAAACTTAGGTCAAACTCAGCATGACAACATGCATTCAGAGCAACCAAAGCTATATCACTGTAATGTGGAAATTCAAACTTCGAATTTTACAGAAGATTGCACTCTTTTTTTTTTTAATTCATGAAATTCCATTCAATTAACAAAAATACTTAAACCTTCTGCAAGTGTAAAGTTTTTAGACTGGTTTGTTGCTGGTATCATCTATACTTCTGTATAAGTATTTCTACTATATGACAAACAAACAATGCATACAATTTTTTTTATAGTTTTTATTTTAAAGTTTTCAGAAACTACAAAGTCCTAAAGATCACAATAAACTTAACAGTCTAAGAAAAGTTTAAAAGACAACCTATTGGTGATATCTTGACAATGAAGCAAAGGAAACAACTTGTGATATACATGTACAGTGTGTTTACAATCATCACACCACAATAACAATAGCAGAACGTATATCCCAATTATGTATTAAGGGATATACCTATCACCGGCAAATAAAGGCTGCTGCATTCATTTTCTTGTAAAAGATTCTAATATTTCAACTTTGAAGCTTCAATGAAAGCATTTCACGACGTTTCTAAATTGTTTGGGGTTTTATTTTTAATTGACACCATGTACTTGGAACCCTTCTGACGTATTCTTATACAATTAAGTTTCCTCTGGCACTGACACCAGACTTGGCAAACAACAGACATCTATCTGTCTATCTGTCAAAATGCCGAAGTCTGGTGTCAGGGCCAGAAGAAACTCTGGCTTATTTGCTAATCTTTATGACAAAACATCAAATGACCGCTTCACTGGTCATTTGTTTGATGAAGGTGACAGTGTACATATCATACTAATCATCGAGACGTCACACAGAAAATTGTAGTGGTTGGGTAAAAAGAACTTCTCATTAAACATATCAAAATCTTGTTAATACTACAGAGAGGTGAATTATTGTTCTTGCGATTTATAATAGCCAATGTCTCCATTTGCCCATAATTTTTTTAATTGTGTCATGTCAAGATGTTTAAACGTGCTGGAGGAATAAACAACAGCCATACCTATCATAGACATTAACACAGCGTTCCCATTTTATGACATGCCGATCCTCATGTGGAAAGATCTGGGATGATGTATGACTAGCCATGGTCCAGATTATGTGAAAAGACAGACGGATGGTTGGACAGTGTCATAACATGAAATTGATACAAGCTGATAATTTCCTGGACAAGAAATGGATAATTTTAAGTCAATTTTAAACTGCCTTTATAAATATTTTCTATAAATAGCAAAGGACAACAAGAGATCCCAGAGTGATCTTAGCGCCCACCATCGTACCATCTTCATAGCTTCTAAGTAAGAGTGATCTTAGCGCCCACCATCGTACCATCTTCATAGCTTCTATGTAAGAGTGATCTTAGCGCCCACCATCGTACCATCTTCATAGCTTCTAAGTAAGAGTGGGTAGCGCCCACCATCGTACCATCTTCATAGCTTCTATGTAAGAGTGATCTTAGCGCCCACCATCGTACCATCTTCATAGCTTCTAAGTAAGAGTGATCTTAGCGCCCACCATCATACCATCTTCATAGCTTCTAAGTAAGAGTGATCTGTTCTCTGATCTGTTGGATTAAGTCATGTAAACGGTGCACCTTGTGGTCACTTTTGCTCAAAGCTTAAGTGTGTGTGACTTTATTCTTTCAAAGTGAAGTTGTCATTTGACCTATTTACTAGCACAGTACTTAATTAGTAACTGTGATTCAGCCATTCCAGCCTCTCAAATGAAGCAAGATACAGTAAGTTATAAATTGAGGTCAATGAGATTTTATATTCGATCAAGTGAAGTACTTTAGAACTTATTCTGATGGTCACTAAGAATGGATGCCCCCCTATAGGAGCTGCCAATATTCTAAAAACCATATGATTTCTAACATGACATATTATACAAATATAGACTTTTGTGCTGGTGAATATGATGTGATATGAACCTGAAAAAGCGATTCACCGAGGTCAATTTCATTTTTTCAGGTTCATATCACATCATAATTTATTTACCAGCCTAAAAGCCCATAACTAATTTATTGTATGCTTCAACAATAAAATTTTGTACAGTTAACCTTTACTTGGAACGAGCCTTCGTGTAAAATTTAGCCAGGGTTGAATCAAACATTTCGGCATCATAGCTTTTGAAGACATCGTCAAGATTTTTTTCCTGAAGATAAGCGTGGGGGACATGCTGTGCGTGTTCGGTGGCGGTTTTTATGTTAACAGCATCTTTATCTGCAAGTAGTTTTTTGAAATTTATAGATGTAACGGAGGCGAATCGTTCACCAGCAGCCATCCTCTGTTGTCTTCTGACAGATCTTGTTCCGTTCTAACAGAGCATGCGCTACGTCAAGTTTCGGGGAATTTCCATATAGGCTATTTTTAGAAATTGATATTCACCGGATTACCAGTCTACATGAGTTTTTGAGGACTGGTCACGTGTATTGGATAAGACCAATGTGATTGCGAGAAGTTTTCAAGCATATAATAAAGGCTTATTATAAGAAAATACTATATATCTAGGTAACTGCAAACCTAAATTCCCAATATAAACTAATACTTTAACAAATCCAAAATGTCTGATGTCAACAGAAATGCACAGGTCTCCACAAAATATTAATTACAATTCCAACAAGAAATTATTTTCTGTATAAATGCAGCAATGTGATTAATCTTATAATAAAAAAAAAAACACAAACATACTGAGATGTCATTTCCCAGATAATATGTACAGACACTTATGGAGGCACCATTCAAATCGCATGCTTAAAAATTAACAGGGATATAAATTTTAAACTAAATAAACTATATGTCTGATATATGTATGCATTAACATTTTGGCAAAGAGTTGCACTTAACCCAATTGCTTCACCATGAAGTTTGTTTAACACATATAACTGGTCTCTTAGAACATCACTGGGTAGGAGACCAACACATTTATTAAAAAATAATCTTTCATAAGACCATTGGTCATTCCAATCACACATCCTACCTATCAAACAGTCTGATCGGGACAGCCCCCCACCATCAAACTGACTTGTCAGTTCCATTCATCCCCTTTATCCAGCAAACTGACCAGCAGTTCTAGTCACCCCATTCATCCATCAAACTGACTAGCAGTTCCAGTCAGCCCCCTCATCCATCAAACTGAGTGGCTGTTCCAGTCACCCCCTCACTCATCAAACTGACAGGCAGTTCCAGCCACTCCCCTTTATCCATCAAACTGACTGGCAGTTCCAGTCACCCCCAACATTCATCCATCAAACTGACTGGCAGTTCTAGTCACCTCCAACATTCATCCATCAAACTGACTGGCAGTTCTAGTCACCCCCAACATTCATCCATCAAACTGACTAGCAGTTCCAGTCAGCCCCCTCATTCATCAAACTGAGTGGCTGTTCCAGTCACTCCCCTTTATCCATCAAACTGACTGGCAGTTCTAGTCACCCCCAACATTCATCCATCAAACTGACTGGCAGTTCCAGTCACCCCCAACATTCATCCATCAAACTGGCTGGCAGTTCTAGTCACCCCCAACATTCATCCATCAAATTGACTAGCAGTTCCAGTCAGCCCCCTCATTCATCAAACTGAGTGGCTGTTCCAGTCCCTCCCCTTTATCCATCAAACTGACTGGCAGTTCTAGTCACCCCGAACATTCATCCATCAAACTGACTAGCAGTTCCAGTCAGCCCCCTCATTCATCAAACTGAGTGGCTGTCCCAGCCACTCCCCTTTATCCATCAAACTGACTGGCAGTTCTGGTCACCCCCAACATTCATCCATCAAACTGGCTGGCAGTTCTAGTCACCCCCAACATTCATCCATCAAACTGGCTGGCAGTTCTAGTCACCCCCAACATTCATCCATCAACCTGACTGGCAGTTGCTGTCAGCCCCCTCATCCATCAAACTGACTGGCAGTTCCAGTCACCCCCTCATCCATCAACCTGACTAGCAGTTGCTGTCAGCCCCCTCATCCACCAGTTCCAGACACAGCCTCTTCTTAACACACATAATGCAGCTTCTGTATTTCATCCTTCCATACTCTGTGGCCATTCCTGCATTTGTTTGAACCCTGGAGACACACTGTATGCCATAAAGTCTGTGGGAGTTTTCCCTGTAGATAGCACTGGGATGGTGTTCTTTGGAGACACAATATCGTCTGTTATAAAATCATCCTCCTCATCCTGTAGGCATAATATAACAAACATTACCAGAAACCTTACAATAAACAGCTAGTTGTTCAATAATAATTACATACAAAAGCATACTCAAATCTTGGAGGTCAATGTAACAGATTTTGCTTGGATGTCACATCAGTAAAGTCCTTGTAAGTATTGTATGGTACCAAAAATTATCAATTTTGAAATATTTATGTTTAATGACAGACATTAATTATTGTTTTCAAAGTAAAATTCAACTGTAAGTTTGTTTCAAAAGACAAAAGCAAAAATTATTATCTATCTAGTAGTCACTCACCTCTGTATCATTATCTATCTAGTAGTCACTCACCTCTGTATCATTATCTATCTAGTAGTCACTCACCTCTGTATCATTATCTATCTAGTAGTCACTCACCTCTGTATCATTATCTATCTAGTAGTCACTCACCTCTGTATCATTATCTATCTAGTAGTCACTCACCTCTGTATCATTATCTATCTAGTAGTCACTCACCTCTGTATCATTATCTATCTAGTAGTCACTCACCTCTGTATCATTATCTATCTAGTAGTCACTCACCTCTGTATCATTATCTATCTAGTAGTCACTCACCTCTGTATCATTATCTATCTAGTAGTCACTCACCTCTGTATCATTATCTATCTAGTAGTCACTCACCTCTGTATCATTATCTATCTAGTAGTCACTCACCTCTGTATCATTATCTATCTAGTAGTCACTCACCTCTGTATCATTATCTATCTAGTAGTCACTCACCTCTGTATCATTATCTATCTAGTAGTCACTCACCTCTGTATCATTATCTATCTAGTAGTCACTCACCTCTGTATCATTATCTATCTAGTAGTCACTCACCTCTGTATCATTATCTATCTAGTAGTCACTCACCTCTGTATCATTATCTATCTAGTAGTCACTCACCTCTGTATCATTATCTATCTAGTAGTCACTCACCTCTGTATCATTATCTATCTAGTAGTCACTCACCTCTGTATCATTATCTATCTAGTAGTCACTCACCTCTGTATCATTATCTATCTAGTAGTCACTCACCTCTGTATCATTATCTATCTAGTAGTCACTCACCTCTGTATCATTATCTATCTAGTAGTCACTCACCTCTGTATCATTATCTATCTAGTAGTCACTCACCTCTGTATCATTATCTATCTAGTAGTCACTCACCTCTGTATCATTATCTATCTAGTAGTCACTCACCTCTGTATCATTATCTATCTAGTAGTCACTCACCTCTGTATCATTATCTATCTAGTAGTCACTCACCTCTGTATCATTATCTATCTAGTAGTCACTCACCTCTGTATCATTATCTATCTAGTAGTCACTCACCTCTGTATCATTATCTATCTAGTAGTCACTCACCTCTGTATCATTATCTATCTAGTAGTCACTCACCTCTGTATCATTATCTATCTAGTAGTCACTCACCTCTGTATCATTATCTATCTAGTAGTCACTCACCTCTGTATCATTATCTATCTAGTAGTCACTCACCTCTGTATCATTATCTATCTAGTAGTCACTCACCTCTGTATCATTATCTATCTAGTAGTCACTCACCTCTGTATCATTATCTATCTAGTAGTCACTCACCTCTGTATCATTATCTATCTAGTAGTCACTCACCTCTGTATCATTATCTATCTAGTAGTCACTCACCTCTGTATCATTATCTATCTAGTAGTCACTCACCTCTGTATCATTATCTATCTAGTAGTCACTCACCTCTGTATCATTATCTATCTAGTAGTCACTCACCTCTGTATCATTATCTATCTAGTAGTCACTCACCTCTGTATCTTTATCTAGTAGTCACTCACCTCTGTATCATTATCTATCTAGTAGTTACTCACCTCTGTATCATTATCTATCTAGTAGTCACTCACATCTGTATAATTATCTATCTAGTAGTCACTCTCCTCTGTATCTTTATCTAGTAGTCACTCACCCCTGTATCTTTATCTATCTAGTAGTCACTCACCTCTGTATCATTATCTTCCTGTACAACATTCCCTTGGTATTCCCTGTAATGGGGCATGATAAACTTTCCCGACCTGTGAAAAAACACAGAAACTAATTGTTTAAAGATGTCCAATTATTACTATTATTAGTAAGTGCAGGTTTCTGTTTGCACTGAATTTACAAATATATTAAATGATAACAGAATATGTGACAAGAAATCCAAGAGGTATTGGCCCCCACCATTGTACCATTTTTCACTGGTTTTATGTAAGATTGGTATTTTCTATTCTTTACACTTTAACATCTGACTCGGTTGCATTGAGTCATGCAAACAGTAAATCAAAACTTCCCACTGCTGTGTATGACATTATTTTACAGTGAGGTTGTTATTTGACCTATTTACTATTGACGTGTTGATGGGATTGTTGACGTGACGTCATTGTAGTGTTGAAGTGACGTCATAACATTGTTATGAATAGGTGAATCCCCCCCGTCTCAACCCTAGGGTGAGACAAGGAAATCTCACACTGGTAAAAGTATGGATACACCTGTCCAGGGTAAGAGACAAGGAAATCTCACACTGGTAAAAGTATGGATACACCTGTCCAGGGTAAGAGACGAGGAAATCTCACACTGGTAAAAGTATGGATACACCTGTCCAGGGTAAGAGACAAGGAAATCTCCCACTGGTAAAAGTATGGCTACACCTGTCCAGGGTAAGAGACGAGGAAATCTCACACTGGTAAAAGTATGGATACACCTGTCCAGGGTAAGAGACAAGGAAATCTCACACCGGTAAAAGTGTGGATACACCTGTCCAGGGTAAGAGAAAAGGAAATCTCACACTGGTAAAAGTGTGGATACACCTGTCCAGGGTAAGAGAAGATGTGTCTAGTACTTCTAGGGAAATAGTGATAACATCCTGAAACTGTCAAAATATAAGAGGCTGTCTGGCGACCATTTTGTTATCCTGATTAGCCTTAAAATGGTTTGTAAGTACCTACGAAAATCCACATTTAAAATTTGGTAAAGGTCTGTCAAATGCTTTTTAAGAAAAGGTAATAACAAAATTGAGCTGTCAAAATTCAAGTTGGCTGTCAAATAGACATTAGTTATATTTCAACTTATGTTAATCATTCGTGTTGGCCCAGAAGTTAGGGCACTGGGTTTTTTAATGTGGGAGGAANGGGGGGGGGGGGGGGGGTACCCTAAGTACCTGGAGTACCTGGCAATAACCTACTTGGTCAGGCAGGTGACCCCCATACCTTTTCACGACCAATCAGGGAATCAAACCCCGGTCGCTGTAGTGAAAGGTGGGTGCGTTATCCACAGCGCCATCTGGTCACTCAGTATTTTCTGAGTAACAGTTTTAAAAACTTGAACCATCAAAACTCAAAATGGCTGCCTTTTGGTTATCTTTTTTTATTTCCAATCAGTCCTTAAACTCAATAAGCACAACAAAGGACCTTTGGGAACCTTCACGTGAAATTGGAACAAATATCCCTCCAATACTTTCTGAGAATTTGTACTAACAAACATCAATTCTCAAAATTCAAGATGGCCACCTGCCCACCATCTTTTTTCATACAGTGCTGAGTGAGGGATACTTTACCTGTGTTATGTACAGGGTTGAGAGTGTGTGGTAACTTAGCTGTGTGGTATGCATGGAGAAAAGGGTGGGACTGACTTACATAATTATGTAGTATGTATAGAGTATAGAGGGTGGAGGTTAAATTACCTGTGTAATAGGTAAGGATCAAAGGGAAATGCATCATTGAGCTGGTCTCCTTTTCTTGTCGACGATGATGGCAGGAAACAACGATTATTTCTCTCTATTATTGTATCACAAAAAGCTAACTGGTGTGTTCTGAAAGGAAACAGGTCATATATCATTATTCGGTGAAGTTTTGTTGGTCGATCTAATTCCAATAAAAACGTACTCCTTCATGAAGAAGTCTATTTTAGACTAAAGAATGAAGCAACCCTAGCCTGTGTGATGCATACAGGAAAATTCTAAACCCAAGGGTTAGACTTTTGAAGTTGACCACAAGGATTGGCCAGGTACTAAACTTTGACAATCTTATCCCGAGGTTTGAGATTTCTCTGTTTGTATTACACAGGAGTGATTGATTTTACTCTCCTACACTTGCCTGCCTTAAAAAGCTCTGAATTGTAAATAATCCCAATACACAGTCCTATCATTAATAGTGCATGAAATGTGTTACAAAGGTAAGGTGACTACCTTATTGTGATATAATTACACTGCATGAAATGTGTTACAAAAGTAAGGTGACTACCTTATTGTGATATAATTACACTGCATGAAATGTGTTACAAAGGTAAGGTGACTACCTTATTGTGATATAATTACACTGCATGAAATGTGTTACAAAGGTAAGGTGACTACCTTATTGTGATATAATTACACTGCATGAAATGTGTTACAAAGGTAAGGTGACTACCTTATTGTGATATAATTACACTGCATGAAATGTGTTACAAAGGTAAGGTGACTACCTTATTGTGATATAATTACACTGCATGAAATGTGTTACAAAGGTAAGGTGACTACCTTATTGTGATATAATTACACTGCATGAAATGTGTTACAAAGGTAAGGTGACTACCTTATTGTGATATAATTACACTGCATGAAATGTGTTACAAAGGTAAGGTGACTACCTTATTGTGATATAATTACACTGCATGAAATGTGTTACAAAGGTAAGGTGACTACCTTATTGTGATATAATTACACTGCATGAAATGTGTTACAAAGGTAAGGTGACTACCTTATTGTGGTATAATTACACTGCATGAAATGTGTTACAAAGGTAAGGTGACTACCTTATTGTGGTATAATTACACTGCATGAAATGTGTTACAAAGGTAAGGTGACTACCTTATTGTGGTATAATTACACTGCATAAAATGATGACCTCTTCCTAGTGTTAAGTGATTATGTTTTTAGAACAAAGAGGCATGGAAAATTTCCCCCAAGTAGTAAAACCATATTTATAAAAAAAAGTAGGACTGTATCTGTGAAGCATTAAAAACACAGTGGTAGGGATAGGTACGGAGGAATCATGATTTCTTTCAGATTACTATTGAGATGATCTGTCATTCTTTGACATGAAAAAACTATTCTCTATCACTTATGCAGAAATCCTAAATCATATCTATATAAGACATCACTCAGAAAATGGACAATCATCACAAGACGATACTGTTATCAATATCTCTGCTCCATAGACAAGGTAGTTACAATGTAGCATACTATCCCATTGTGAATGGTACCGAGCCCTACAGTTCATTATGCATTTTTTCTTTAGTAATCATTTAAAACAGATGTATACAGCAATAGTGAAAACATGAATAATATTTTTTTTTTCCAAAATGATGAAACACATTTAGTTAACAACATGAACATTTTTCAAAGTATTATCTATGCAGTAACTTTAGGTACCCAGATAACAATTCTTAATGTGATATACATTTAAAAATTAAAGAAGTTACTGAAGTGTTAAATATAAGTCAATTTCAGCATCTGCAACATGCAACCCTAGCTGCATCATAATAATATAATAGTTCGAGGTTCTTATATACCGCTTCATCACAACCTAGTACGTAGGTCTTCTCAAAGCGGTTCACAAATTATCATCCGTGGTTATAGGGCCTTCGCAACCAGCCAATATCGTTCTCAAATCCCTGTTGATTATTGCAAGTATCAGTAATATACATGAAGTACATGTACTTATAAATATGGACTGAACAATTCTCCTTACTGTGAATGGATGGACAGATCGACAGAACCTGTTTCTATACACCCACCCCCCCCCCCCCCCCCCCCCCTTATCAACTTCATTAAAAAGGAGATAATTTCTTAATCTTGTGTGATAATGGATACTTAAATGATTGCCCAGTAAATACAAACCTTGTGACAGACGCAAAAGACTTCACTATAACAGGCAGACACACACGCAGTGGGTTGAGGCGACTCGTTACGATTCTCTGGAAATTTAAACCCTCTGCCCATTTGTAACCTGTTTAGATGAAAGATTTAACAAAGACAAAAAGTTCAAAACAAATATTCTAAGTATTGAAGAGCAACCCTACTGTATTCTTTACATATAACAGAAGAGGTTCTAGGGCCTGTAACCTTCTTCTGGTTCCTCTGTTTTTAGCCTGCGAAAAAAAGGGTCAAATGTGGCAGGTGGTCTCATATTAACTAGACAACTGGTGATAAGCCCACTAAATAGGGAGTGTATTTTGTCATATTGAACAAATTTGCAAATTCAAAACACTTCAATGAAAATCAAACTACCTGGTAAGCTTGAGGGAAATATTTTGATACCTAGAAATTTCATTTTTATACTTCAAAGCAACATGAAATTGCTGTGTAATTAAATGTACTGGATTTCCAATATAACGTAACAGCTGTAGTCCAAAGAACAGACTTTAATTGACACAGGTGAACCTGATAGGAAATCCCAAATCAACAAATCCTCAAGAAAGGGGAAGAATTTCCCTATGCATGGAGAGAGTGTCCTATTACCAGGCATGTGAAAAAAAGAGGACCATTACCTTCCATTGTATAAAATGTTTTTATCTCATGAGCTAAAAAAGATAGGACATACATGGGAATCAGTCTCTTATATGAAAATATGGTACCTTTATAAACTTAAATAGTTCTCACTAGGTAAAGCATGTTACACATGAAAAACTCACCCTTTTTCATTTCCAGCAGCTCTTTACTTCTGAATACAAACACATAGAAAATTGTTTGACAAACAGAATAAAAGGATCCATGGTGACACACATCAGCATGGATAGAGTCGGTGCCAACCTGGTCTAAGTACTTGTGTACCCAATCACACATCAGTCCCAGACAGGCTGTGACAGTGCTGAAAAAATACAACCATCACATGCATCAGTTATCACTTCATATAATTTGTTACAGAGCTGAACATTGTACTCAAATACTGGTATACTGTCACACAGCCTTTTAGAGAACTGAACATTGTACTCGTTTACTGGTATACTGTCACACAGCCTTTTAGAGAACTGAACATTGTACTCGTTTACTGGTATACTGTCACACAGCCTTTTAGAGAACTGAACATTGTACTCGTTTACTGGTATACTGTCACACAGCCTTTTAGAGAACTGAACATTGTACTTGTTTACTGGTATACTGTCACACAGCCTTTTAGAGAACTGAACATCGTACTCGTTTACTGGNGTCACACAGCCTTTTAGAGAACTGAACATTGTACTCGTTTACTGGTATACCGTCACACAGCCTTTTAGAGAACTGAACATTGTACTCGTTTACTGGTATATTGTCACACAGGTTGTTAGAGAACTGAACACTATACTCGTATACTGGTATACCGTCACACAGCCTTTTAGAGAACTGAACATTGTACTCGTATACTGGTATACTGGCACACAGCCTTTTAGAGATCTGAACATTGTACTCGTTTACTGTGACACAGCCTTTTAGAGAACTGAACATTGGACTCGTTTACTGGTATACCGTCACACAGCATTTTAGAGAACTGAACATTGTACTTGTTTCCTGGTATACCGTCACACAGCCTTTTAGAGAACTAAACATTGTACTCGTTTACTGGTATACAGTCACACAGCCTTTTAGAGAACTAAACATTGTACTCGTTTACTGGTATACGGTCACACAGCCTTTTAGAGAACTAAACATTGTACTCGTTTACTGGTATACTGTCACACAGCCTTTTAGAGAACTGAACTTTGTACTCGTTTACTGGTATACCGTCACACAGCCTTTTACAGAACTGAACATTGTACTCGTATACTGGTATACTGGCACACAGCCTTTTAGAGAACTGAACATTGTACTCGTTTACTGGTATACCGTCACACAGCCTTTTAGAGAACTGAAAATCTCCCTATGATTAGTTAACCATGGTTTGTTCATAAAAGAGCAGAAAACAACAATAAAACTGGAATCTATATAATAAAACACTGGGAATCCAAATTTGATGTTCAACATTTTTTTTTCTTGATAATGATTTTTATGAAACAGAACAGCCCTTTTCTTATCTTATTTTGTCATATATGTTGGACATGTGAACATTATTTTTTATGAACCTAAGCATCATTTCAACTTGAAGCATGTACATTTTTGTATTTGGATTTGTTATTCAGGGAATTTGAATTTGTCTTCATTAAGAAAGATTGAAAATGTTTGAACAAAGTGTAATGAGCTATGCTTGAATTACCTGATTGGTACGAACAGTCCTCGAGACAACAAGCTGCCTATGTAGCTCACACTAGCCTGACGGTACACCCGCTCTGTGTTTGGATCCTGCACTTTCTTCCACAGAAAATCCAAAAAGCCTTCACAGATTGGCTGAAAATCAATTGAAACTTCCTAATGTTTGAACAACACAATGACAAAACAACAATCGGCCCTGGAGCCTGTATAGCTCACCAGGTCTAAAGCTATATAGACAGATCAAAACTAGTAAGAAACATCTTTTTCCTTTAATGGGCTCATCCCTCTGCCCCAGTGGGGGCCACTATCTTCATTTATACACCTTTGAATCCCCTGGGCCCAGAGATCCTTTAAACAGAATTGGGCAAAAAATATCTTCACCCATACTGAAGATTTTATCCATACTGAAGGAGCAAAGAAAAATGTCAATGTTGGTATGAATGAAGAAAATCTATCATCATTTTAAGTAGCAATTCATCCCTTGTTAGTCAGTAAACATTACAGTTGACTCTTGTTAGTCAGGACAGTTTAAAGTTATCCCTTCTAGTCAGCATCCTCTTGTCCGGCCCTAGACACAGGTTGAACGTACACTGCAGCTTCCTCTTTTGTCTACAGACGTGCTTAACACATGACCAAAATGAAGTTAATCATTCCGTAGTTAAACTAAGGTCACCTTTGTTGATGATTGACCTAATTGTCTCAACATGCTTTATTCCCCGATCAGAGTGGGCCCCTGAAGTATTTGTACTGACCTGCTTTATTGCACACAGGAAAAACATGATGAACTGGACATGGCAGGAAGCATGTGTAGGTAGAATAAGGCGGTCAAACACCAGCAGCATTTCCCGATACAGTGTCTTAGCCTTCTCCCAGTTCAGCTGACCTACACAAGATAAACACTTAACATAAACTCAAAATTCTTGTAAGAAATATAAATTCAAGTGAGAACACATTCTTTTAAGAGTATGTGTGACCTGTCCTCATAGAAAGATATCATGTATATTTTTTGTAAAGTTTATGACCTAATCTTATGGAAGAACATTAAATCTGTAAGGATCTATGGAAACACGGTTGGTGTATGTGTGGACCTACCATCATGGAAACACGTTTGGTGTATATATTTCAGCACCAGATCCATCATTATGTCCAGGCGTTCAGCCTCCTTGTGATTCATGGGTTTAGCTGATCCAGGTTCTGAACATCCACTGCTGTATCCAGTATCTGAGGATGTCACTTTCTGTGACACACTAGGGTCATCCTAAAATCAAACAATCAGAATAAAGCTGTCAAGGTCATATCAATTTTATGGTTTCCAGTTATTTTACTATTTTTTTTTTAAACTTCGAGATAGTGTGGTGTTATGTATCTTCAACATATTGTTTGTTTGATCCTGTATGATGTGTAGTAAAATCATTCACATATTAACAGAATTTGTTTTTAATACATTAAACAAAATTCCATTCTCAAACTGTATGAATATGTATGCAATGGATGATAAACAAAATTCTCATCAATTTTCACCTCTTTGAGAAATATTTACAACTAGAACTTTTTTGTAACATCTTCATGGCTTTGATTTAGATGGAGCTAAGTGCCAAGTCTAACCAAAGTCAGTGAGTCGAAAACATAGGTCACTGTGGCCTACAGTCAGTGAGTAGAAAACATCAATAGGTCACGGTGGCCTACAGTCAGTGTCGAAAACACAGGTCACTGTGGCCTACGGTCAGTGAGTAGAAGTAGAAAACATAGGTCACTGTGGCCTACAGTCAGTGAGTAGAA